TTCACAGGTTTCCATTAGTGTAGTTTTAAACCTGACAACTTCATCTTTGGCTTGTAATAAAAAGTTTTCAAAATTTACATTGTTGATGATAAAAATGATACTTTCTAGGTGTTCAATTAAACAGAAAAGTAGATGGTTCTCTCAGAATAGATGTTAATAGGAATACCAGATTGACTGACTGGTTTCGACGTAGAAATTTGCACCGATGTACAGCAGTTCGAGTCGCCACACTCCGTGTAGCACAAAAGCAAGAGAAGAAAGTAGAAGATATGCAGAACAGAGACAGTAAACAGAGATATGAGGCAAAAAGAATAGTAACATCGAAGAACCATATAGTTTTATTGGAAATTATAAGTCACAAGGAGTGGATGCATCTGCGCCATTGAGAACGATTTTCAACAATATCACAAATTGTATCCAGCCTTTATTAGTTATTACCGTCCCGATGACCCCAACCAGGAAGTCTACACCTCCGTAAGTGGTTGGCTTCAACTAACTGATGTGGATTTCACTGACTGATGAAGACATATCTTGGTTTGACCACCAATCACTAGCTCTTTACCAGCCTGATCCATCCTATGTCAGCTAACAATGCTTTTCGTCGAAGAAAGCGATGGCTAGGCAGGCAGCCATGCGTGAGTAACACACGTCCTAACCATCTCAATCGATGTAACTTCACAACCTCGTTGGTTGATTTCCCCTCCCACCCACCTAGCACTCGACGCCCAACCTCAATATTGCTCACACGGCAGACAGAACTCAGACACACTTATGATCAAAGACAGCTGCCCTTTTCATGTCTTCCACTTCCAATGGCCATGCCTCACTCAAAGGCATAAAGGAGGACAGAGTGAACTGCTGAGCAGTACACACGTCCTTTGGTTTATAGCCTGCCATATATCAAACTTTGTTAAATACGAGCTTCCATTATGGGTAAATTTTATTTTGATAGAGTCTCACAGTGTTATACAGTAATATTTACTGATGACGTTTCGAGCACAATTTATTGCTCATAATCATATCAAGGTAATCACACGACTTCCTAAATTCATTTATATAGTTCCATTGTTTTTCACTTGATTTGATTGATAGTAGTATTTTCCATATTTCAGGTATGAGTGATGATTCATTCCTATTGCATGTGTTGGGTGTAGATTCAATGAACAAAGATTCAGTAATCAACCTCTCTCTCCACCTACCTAGATTACTTTTTAGAATTTTAACCCTCTCCCACCCTATTGTGTGGTTGTGTGTTAATGAATGCATTGCAATTGCCGAGCTTTTTTCTAAATTACTTATCTTCTCTGGGTCAACCATTCTTGCCTTGGCTAAATTCTTATGTTCTGACAATCTGACTACCCCTGACCTACTAGTTTGACCTATGTAGTTGACCTCACAGTCATTGCAGGGTATTTTGTAAATTATATTATTTTGTCTAATTGGGTCCGCTGGGTCCTTTAACCTACAGAGCTTGTCCCTGAGTGAGTTTGTAGGTTTAAATGCCACCCTAATTCCTGCTTTATTTAGAATCCTACGTAGGGCCTCAGATGTCCCCTCCTTATATGGTATAACAGTATAAGATTTATATTCTCTCTTATTTATGTTATTACTACCAGTTACACAATTATTTTTATTTTGTTTTTGGCCTTTACTGATCTTCTTAATGAATTTTAAAGGATAGTTATTTAACACCAACGCTTCTTCTATCTGTTTTATTTCGTCATTCAGGTCCTTTTTTGTGCTACTTAGTGCTATGGCTCGATTTGTCAGACACTTCACTAAGCCTGCCTTAACAGTTAAAGGATGAGACGAATTAAAGTCTAAATATCTATTAGAATGCGTTGGTTTTCTATAAACACTAGTGTGTAGTTTGCCTTCTTCTATTCGTTTTATTTTACAATCTAACATAGCTAATTCTCCTTGCTCATTTTCGGTTTCAAATGTGAATTTTATTCCCTCCACTAGTGAGTTTATGTGTGTGTGGTGTGAACATTTTCATAAACGTTTAGCATTTATATTATACACTATTCACATCTTTCATTTTTGTTTAAACCAGATTCTATACTGGAATTATAAAACGAATAAAGCCTTTATTGCGGGCCCTCAATATTCTCACTTGATCGGTGAATGTTTGATTAACTCATAAACACTACAGTGTGTCAAAATATGGTGGAGATATGTGGATGACACTTTCACAGTGTTAAAAACAGAACATATCTCTAGCTTCTTGACACACATAAACTCACTAGTGGAGGGAATAAAATTCACATTTGAAACCGAAAATGAGCAAGGAGAATTAGCTATGTTAGATTGTAAAATAAAACGAATAGAAGAAGGCAAACTACACACTAGTGTTTATAGAAAACCAACGCATTCTAATAGATATTTAGACTTTAATTCGTCTCATCCTTTAACTGTTAAGGCAGGCTTAGTGAAGTGTCTGACAAATCGAGCCATAGCACTAAGTAGCACAAAAAAGGACCTGAATGACGAAATAAAACAGATAGAAGAAGCGTTGGTGTTAAATAACTGTCCTATAAAATTCATTAGGAAGATCAGTAAAGGCCAAAAACTAAATAAAAATAAGTATGTAACTAGTAGTAATAACATAAATAAGAGAGAATATAAGTCTTATACTGTTATACCATATAAGGAGGGGACATCTGAGGCCCTACGTAGGATTCTAAATAAAGCAGGAATTAGGGTGGCATTTAAACCTACAAACTCACTTAGGGACAAGCTCTGTAGGTTAAAGGACCCAGCGGACCCAATTAGACAAAATAATATAATTTACAAAATACCCTGCAATGACTGTGAGGTCAACTACATAGGTCAAACTAGTAGGTCAGGGGTAGTCAGATTGTCAGAACATAAGAATTTAGCCAAGGCAAGAATGGTTGACCCAGAGAAGATAAGTAATTTAGAAAAAAGCTCGGCAATTGCAATGCATTCATTAACACACAACCACACAATAGGGTGGGAGAGGGTTAAAATTCTAAAAAGTAATCTAGGTAGGTGGAGAGAGAGGTTGATTACTGAATCTTTGTTCATTGAATCTACACCCAACACATGCAATAGGAATGAATCATCACTCATACCTGAAATATGGAAAATACTACTATCAATCAAATCAAGTGAAAAACAATGGAACTATATAAATGAATTTAGGAAGTCGTGTGATTACCTTGATATGATTATGAGCAATAAATTGTGCTCGAAACGTCATCAGTAAATATTACTGTATAACACTGTGAGACTCTATCAAAATAAAATTTACCCATAATGGCATTACACTCTACCACAGTGCCCAAGTTTTATTCTTATATTAAATACGAGCTGACTGATTTCAACATAGAACTCTGCACATAAGTGCACCATTTCAACTTGCCACATTCCATCTACCACATAAATAAGGGTAAAAGAGATTCTAAAGTAAAATACTAAGCAGAAATGTTAGGGAAGAAAAAAGAATAGTAACATAGAAAGAACACTAGGGCTTTATTGGATATAGGAGGATCACAAAGAGTGTGAATGCATTTGCGTCATCATCGAGAATGATTTTGAGCCATACCATCAACAGTTCTCTCCAGCCTTCATTGATTCTTAGCATCACGAGGATCCCAACCAGACTGGCAGTCTACACCTCACTATGTGGTTGACTCCAACTGTCTGTTAAAATAACAGTTATGAATTTCATGTACTGAAGCCATTTTAGTTTGACCATCACCACCACTGGCTGTTTTCCAACCTGATGGTATGTCAAGCAACGTTGCTCTCTGAGGAAGGCGATGGCTAGGCAGCATGTGTGACACATGTCCTAACCATCTCAATCGATACAGCTGCTTCACAACCTCTTCGATTGACTTTCTCTCCTTACCCAACACACTTGACGCCTAACCATCTCAATATTAATCACTCTACTATACTTTACTTTACGTTACTTCGGCTAACTCCTACGGGAGGATGAGCCGGCTTCATGAACATCTCGAGTCATCGCTGTCCAGGCGCGGCGATCTGATGCAATTCTTGTTCCACAGACGGAGTCCGTAGACGGTTTGTAGCCCCAGGCACTCCATATCAGCCTTGACTGTACCAAGCCATGTTTTCAGCTGTCCACCCCTGCGACATCGCCAAGATGGTAATGGCGAGGGATTTAGAACTGATTTGAACAGATCGTCATCTAGTCGGCGCAGAACATGGCCAAACCACCGAAGGCGACTTTGTTGGACCAGTACTGGAATTTGGTTGATGTTGTAGCAACGACGACGCACTTCTTCGTTGGAGAGTTTGTCCTGCCAACGAACAGCATGGTGGGAGTCGTTTGTAAGAGAGTTCATGAAGTTTCATGGGAATTTGGTACGAGTGATGTCCCCAGAATCGCTCGGCCTTTTGTTTGAGAGTGCAGCTCTAGCATTTACACAACCAAGTGTGACCTACAAGGCAGTAGGAGTGGAGTAGGGAGTCCACTATCCATTGGCAGCCGGTGACCGGAGTTCGGTTCATACGCCTTTTTGAATGGGGCCAGACATCCACGACATCCAACAAGCCCTTTGTCCATACGTCTGCCGGTGAGCTCCAGTGAGCTTCATACGCCAGTCGTTGGAGGTTTGGAATCAGGGTTTAGCCATTTCCCCTAGACTGTCATCCAATGGACAGTCAACTCGGTGAAGAGCGCCGGGCATCCGCTTTCGCCCTCTCACTTTGGTGAAAAACACCTCCGCCACGTGAAGGCAGTGAGTAAGACTTCCTCAGGAGAGGCTATGTAAGACGCCCGGTGATATGGGAGCATTTCAAGAGGTGTGCGGAGGGGTGGCCAACCCGCAGCTCAAGGCACCCACCCCCGACCATCCTGAGGCTTTGGAGTAGAGTGCCTTGATTAGTGCAATGTACTTTCTTGGCACTCCTTTTACAATCATACATTGCCGTATCTTCTGCTAGTCTCTTGTTACATAAATAGCTTCATTTATTGAGTCTTTCCCTTCTATTTTGTATTTTTTTAGATTTTACTCCTAAGATGAATGACCTTCAATATGAGGTTAGTTTAATTTCAACATTTCATATAACTTATCATGCAGATTATTGTTCAAGAAGTTGTTCAAAGTGAATTGAGACAAACAGTATCCTCTCAGGTGAGAGTCGTGTAGTGATTATCGTAATTATGATGTATTATTGTGTTCCATTATGGAGAAAATTTTATTTTGAGAAAGTCTTTTGAGAGTGTTATACAGTAATATTTATTACTGCTCATCATCAAGATACTACTCACACAACTTTCCTACTTCATTTATATAATTTCATTGTTTCTCACCTCTTGATTTGATTGGTAGCAATATCTTTTCTATATCTCTGGTATTAGTGATGAGTCATTTCTGTTGCATGTGTTGGGTGTAAACTCGATGAACCAGGATTCAATAATCAACCTCTCTCGCTCTTCACCTACCTATATTACCTCTTAGAATTTTAACCCTCTCCCACCATGCTTTGTGGTTGTGTGTTAATGCATACAGTCCAGTTGCTGAGCTTTTTTTCCCAAATGACTTATCGTCGCGGAGTCAATCATTCTACACTTAGCTAAATTCTTGTGTTCTGATAATCTAAATACCTGCGATCTACTGGTTTGACCTATTTAGTTAACCTCCCTCACAATCATTGCAAGGTATCTTGTAAATTATGTTATTTTGTCTACTTGGGTCAACCTGCAGGGTCCTTTAACCTACAGAGCTTGTCCTACCTACCTGAGTGAGTTTGTAGGTTTAAATGCCCCACCGTAATTCCTGCTTTATTAAGAATCCTACGTAGGGACGGTCTCAGATACCCCCTTTCTATGTGGCAAAACTGTAGATGCCGTATATCCTTTCATATTTCTGTTATCATTATAAGTCACTACTATTTTTTAAATTTTGCTTCTGATCTTTTATGATCTTCCTAATGGATTTTATACGATATTTATTTAACCCTAACGCTTGTTCTTGTATCTGTTTCATTTCATCATTTAGGTTTTTTGATGTACTAATTAGTGTTATTATTGTTCAGTTTGTCAGACACTTTTGTTGGTGTTAGATGGCCGCAGGCAATCGGCAGGAAGTCTTGGACCTATGTTTCGTTCTAGTTACTTACTTTACTTTGCTTCGGCTATCTCCTACGGAAGGATGAGCCGGCTTCATGAACTTCTCAAATCATCGCTACCCAGGCGCAGCGATCTGATGAAGAGAGTTCATGAAGTTTCATGGGAATTTGGTACGAGTGATGTCCCCAGAACCACTCGGCCTTTTGTTTGAGAGTGCAGCTCTAGCCTTTACACAACCAAGTGTGACCTACAAGGCAGTAGGAGTGGAGTAGGGAGTCCACTATCCATTGGCAGCCGGTGACCGGAGTTCGGTTCATACGCCTTTTTGAATGGGGCCAGACATCCAGGACATCCAACAAGCCCTTTGTCCATACGTCTGCCGGTGAGCTCCAGTGAGCTTCATACGCCAGTCGTTGGAGGTTTGGAATCAGGGTTTAGCCATCTCCCCTAGACTGTCATCCAATGGACAGTCAATCCGGTGAAGAGAGCCGGGCATCCGCTTTCGCCCTCTCACTTTGGTGGAAAACACCTCCGCCACGTGAAGGCAGTGAGTAGGACTTCCTCAGGAGAGGCTATGTAAGACGCCCGGTGATATGGGAGCATTTCAAGAGGTGTGCGGAGGGGTGGCCAACCCGCATCGCAAGGCACCCATCCCCGACCATCCTGAGGCTTTGGAGGCACTCAGCGGTCAGTAAGGCGTATCTGCAACCTTGAAGGAACTCATGTCCCTTCTGAGATTAGAACCCGATTGCCCCTCCAACCATCTAGCATCATCAAATCAATGTGCACGGTGATGGAGAGCCACCTAGGATAGTGGTCACATTGCAAACTTGACACCATCACAAAGGACTAGACACATTAAACTAGTTGCTGACTAGTGTTCAATCAAAAGTAAGCTTGCCTTTACAGATAACGACGGATGAGATGAATTAAAGTCTAAATATCTATTAGTGGAATGTGTTGGCTTTTTATAAACGATAGTGTGTGTGTACAGTCTACCCTCTTCTGTTCGTTTATTGCTGAATCTTTGTTCATAGAATCTACACCCAACACATGCAACATAAATGATTCAGCGCAAATACGAGAGATATGGAAAACAACACCTTGAGCAGCAATCTTCGTATGTTTGGCATGCGATTCGCCCCTGTAAAATGTAAGATGCTGCTACAGGACTGGACTACGTCAACTCCTAGCTTCGTGATAGGGAGTGAAGTGATAGAACATGTTGACCACTTCACCTATTTGGGAAGTTGTATCAGCACCAACGGATTGATTGGTGACGAAATCTCAGCACGGATCCAAAAAGCTCGAGCTGCTGCTTTCGCTAACTTACACCATATCTGGCGTAGGCGTGACATCCGGCTATCAACCAAGGGACGTGTGTACTGCTCAGCAGTTCGCTCCGTCCTTCTCTATGGCTCTGAAACATGGCCAATACGAGTTGAAGACATGAAAAGGTTGTCTGTTTTTGATCATAGATATTTACGATCTCTTTCTCACGTTAGGAGGTGGTATAATAAGGTAAGTAATGTTGACGTTAGGCGTAGAGTGTTGGGCAAAGAGGGAAAATCAATCGAAGAGGCTATAATGTTGCATAGATTGAGATGGCTAGGTCACGTGCTGCGAATGCCTAACCATCGCCTCTCCCGCCCCAAAGGGCATTACTAGCTGATATAGGTGCAGGTTGGAAAAGAGTAAGTGGTGGCCAAACAAAAACATGGCATCAATCAATCCATGAAATCCTTGACAGTTAAACTGACTCAGGTAGGGAGGGAGATGCAGACTTCCGGGTTGGGGCCCGCCCTCGGGACTCTAAGAATCAATCAATGGCTGGAGACAATAGGTGACATGGCTCTAAATCGTTGTCAATGGCTTATGCAGATGTATTCAGTTTCTGTAATCTTTCATATTCCTTTCTACCACCATTACTCATTCTGTTTCACTCTTATACTTGTCAAAACTCTATTGATTCTCTTCACTCATTTTCTTGTCTACCTTTGTGTGCTATTTGGAACGTGGCAACTCGAAGTGTTGCACTTCGATGCCAAGTTCTATGTTGAATCCAGACAGACAGATAGATATGGAAAATACTACTACCAATCATCAAATCAAGAGATGAGAATTAGTGGAACGGTATAAATGAAGTCGGAAAGTTGTGTGTTTAGTGTCTTGATGTGATTATGAGCAGCAATAAATTGTGCTCAAAATGTATGGTGATCAGTAAATATTACTGTATACCAACACTGTGAAACTTTATCAAAATAAAATTTTCTCTATATTGGAATTATACTCTAACACAGTGCCCAAATTTTTTATTATTATGTTATCTAGCCTATATATGAACGTTTTGGTGGTAATATATTTCTCCCTGCCTCTCGTACAAAAGTTTTAATGACCTGTGAAGGTAGGTATGGAAAAAAAACAGCTTTGAAATGCTTTCCTTTATTTATTTAGAAAAACTTAAAAAATTACGTGATCAATCGTTAAAATTAAAAACTGACAAGAGTTGAAGTATTTTTGTTGTTGTTGTTGTTTTTATTTTTTTTACAATTTCTTGATAACTAACTTGTACAGTTTAATATTTTCAAGAAAAAACTATCTTACTACTTATATAAAAACAAAAGTATATGAAGCACAAATAAAAATTATTTGAAATATGTTTATTTTATATTTTCAGTTGTACTAATAATGGGTATTTGTAGAGTGCCTTCTTTATGACTGTGGGTGAGGCAGCGTCATTGAAAGGGCGGAAGATATGTGAAAAGGTCGGCTAGCTGTCTTTGACCAAAGGTGCCTGCGTTCTATCTCCTGTGTGTGTTAGGTGGGTAGGTATAATACTTACTTTACTTCGGCTGTCTCCTACGGGAGAATCAGCCGGCTTCATGGACATCTCGAATCATCGCTGCCCAGGCGCAGTGACCTGATGAAGAGAGTTCATGAAGTTTCATGGGAATTTGGTACGAGTGATGTCCCCAGAATCGCTCGGCCTTTTGTTTGAGAGTGCAGCTCTAGCCTTTACACAACCAAGTGTGACCTACAAGGCAGTAGGAGTGGAGTAGGGAGTCCACTATCCATTGGCAGCCGGTGACCGGAGTTCGGTTCATACGCCTTTTTGAATGGGGCCAGACATCCAGGACATCCAACAAGCCCTTTGTCCATACGTCTGCCGGTGAGCTCCAGTGAGCTTCATACGCCAGTCGTTGGAGGTTTGGAATCAGGGTTTAGCCATCTCCCCTAGACTGTCATCCAATGGACAGTCAACCCTGTGAAGAGCGCCGGGCATCCGCTTTCGCCCTCTCACTTTGGTGAAAAACACCTCCGCCACGTGAAGGCAGTGAGTAGGACTTCCTCAGGAGAGGCTATGTAAGACGCCCGGTGATATGGGAGCATTTCAAGAGGTGTGCGGAGGGGTGGCCAACCCGCAGCGCAAGGCACCCACCCCCGACCATCCTGAGGCTTTAGAGGCTGAGTAATATTGAGGTGGTAAGGCGTCGAGTGTGTTGGGTAAGGAGGGGAAGTCAATTGCTGAGGTTGTGAAGCTGCATTGATTGAGAGATGGCTGGTACATATGTGTTCCATGTGCAAATCCATCGCATTCGATTACATTGACTGAGATGTACTGTGGCGATGTTTGGCTGTGAAAGGAATGCCTAGACAAAATACATCACAGCGATCAAGACATTCTCTATTCGAGCTCATGCAGTCAGTCAGGTGAGAGCGTACAGAGAGTTGTCATCTGAAGCGGTGACAACCAGTGATGTCCATCATGAATGCTCATTGTCCCCAGTTCATCACCCTAACTGACTTCAGCTACTCAGGGAATAGTCTTGTAGACTTGGAATATGAAGATGTTATATTTCTTCTAGGTGGGGACGCTGACAAAGTGCTGACTCTTCTAAACACCTTAAGGAGCAGCAATATTCGAATGTTTGATGTGCAACTTGTTCCTGTCAAATGTAAGATGATGCTACGGGACTGCACTATATCGACTCATAGCTTAAAGATAGGGAGTGAAGTGGTTGATAGAGCGTGCTGACTACTTCACTTATTTGGGAAGTTGTATCAGCCAGCTCGAGTGGGTTGATCACTGACGAAATCTCAGTACGGATACAACTTATGCCATTTCTGGCATAAACGTGATATCCGACTGGTTGTCAACCAAAGGACGTGTGCACTGCTCAGCAGTGGTTCGCTTTGTTCTCCTTTGTGACTGTGAGGCGTAGTCCTTGGAAGTGGAAGATATGAAAAGGCCGCCTGGTCGTCTTTGGCCATACATGTTTGCGTTTTATCTCCCGTGTCAGGTGATATAACAGGGTGAGCACTATTGAGGATAGGTGTCGAGTGCTAGGTACGTCGTAGGATCGACGAGGCTGGAAGAGATCTAGTGGTGGTCAAACCAAAACATGGCTTCATTAGTCAAAGAAATCCATAACAGTTAGTTTAAGCTAGCCACTTTTTGAGGTGTAGACTTTCTGGTTGGTGTCGTCGGGATGGTAAGCACCAATGAAGGCTGGATGCAATTGATGATATTGCTGAAAATCGTTCTCAATGGCCGGTTCAGATGCGTTTACTCTTTGTGATTTATAGTATCTAGTAAACCGTCATGTCTTCAAAAAGAATGGTTATCCACAAAATTTCATCAAAGAGTGTTTAAAGTCGAATCAAAACACCAACAAGAAACCATCATCTAAGACCACAAGAAAATTCATTCTACCATACATGAAGAACATCTCTGAAATAACAGCTAGAGTACTGAAACCGTTTGATATAGATATAGCACACAAGCCAGTCAAATCGCTTAATTCGATATTATGCAAACCGAAAGATCCAACAGAAAAAGGGGATAAAATTAATACCATCTACAAAATAAATTGTATGAACTGTAACAAGCATTACATCGGCCAAAGTGGGCGTCCCCTTCGAATCAGAATCCAAGAACATAAATCAGCCGTGAAAAGACATGATATGTATTCTTTAGTATCACTGCATGCAGACAACTATGGTCATCAGTTTGATTGGGATCATGTCAAAATCTTAAACAGAGGAAACACGAAAAGTGCCAGAGAATTCCTAGAGGCCTGGTACTCAAGCGAAAATGCGATTAATATAGATGAAATATACCAATTAATAAAAAGTAAATCAGGTGACCAAAAAGTTTAAAATCCTAGTCAATAGAAAGTGGTCAATACATATGTGAAGATAGTAACCAGGAGACGCAATTACATCACACATGAGGAAATTTAAATCATTTCACTTCGTGCTAAATATGGCGCTGAAGATGTTGTCCGGAAGGATGACGAAAGCTTCGCGACTAAACCAACCAGCTCAGAGAACGCTTTTAATTGTAAATCATCCACCTGAGCTACAAATCTTCTCTATTATTTCAAAACCGTCATGTTTTGAGATGTTAATATTCTTTCTTCCTCACATTTCTGTTGATTATCATTCTTCCGAATCTTTTGTCTTCCATTGTGTGGTACATGGAATGGGGCAAGCTGAACTGGTGTACTTCTGTGCAACAGTTATATGTTGAAACCAGTCAGTCAGTTCTTATTGCCTGTATGTATCCATGTGCAAGTTATAGTGTTTCTTTTGCAAGTTACTTCGTTATCTAATGATTAAGTTCGCTGAACTTTGTGCAGAATTACATCTCGTCTGTCTGCATGCGCTGCGGCGAATCCGAATTTTTTCTCTGTGCTTTGCTTGTAGGAATTTCGTTCTTTTTCAAGTTTGACGACGCGTGGATTGATATCAGTTAGAGAACCACTGAAGAAACCGAAAGGGAATAATGCCTAGACAGCTGTTTCGTTCTAGTTTGGGACTCATCTGAAGAATGTACCCGCTTGGGTCTGAACCCTAGTTCTCTAACTTACAGCAATCCGTCATCAAATTTGAAACAAGCCACCCTCCGCTCCAGAAATTAACTCTTGAAAATTAATCTGATCTGGCAACAAGACAAATTTGACTGGGGTGAGTTCTCTAGTGAGAAGTCGTGACCACAATAGGGTCAGGAGTGAGGACAAAAACTCGTCTATGCCATTGCCAGTAAGTAGCGCCTATGATTACCAGTTGGTGGAAGTTAGAATTCATGGGTCGGACATTGGGTCTCTGTGGGTGTGAATAGTCTGCGAGCACTCGCCTTGTAACCGGAAGGTTATGGGTTCAATCCCTGATGAGTGAGTGAGTACTTCTGATGATTCACAGACTAGGACGAAACAGCTGTGTGTGTGCAGTACTCCCTAGTTAGTTTCCAATGGTTCTTTAACCGATGCCATTCCGTCATCAAACTTTGAGATAGTTTTTGTTAATATATTAACCACATAATTTGTAAATGGTTGCGATGATCTTTGACTACAGTACTTTTTTTTCCTTCACGTTCCCCAGTGGAACATAGGGCTTCAAGCTAGTGGCTTGAAGTTTCTGTAGCAGTGTTTATTTTACAGGATGGGGTTACTAGCCTCATGCCCAACCTTTCCTCCTCGCCAGCATTAATTCTGGCTCAGCGAGGTAAAGGAGTGCGTCGACCGGAGATCGAACCCCGGACCATGTGCATGGTCGGCGAGCGTCCTAACCGCTATGCCACCAACGCACTACAGTAACTGCCAGTCACTAATTCCAAGTCTCTGAACTACACATCGTACCTACCTTTCTGATTAGTGGTTTACTGTTCAAAACTGTAAAGTTAGTTGTCACTTGTGTCTTTTAATCGTCGCACTTCGAGCTGAAATCCTACTTCTAAATGCGAAAACGCGAATACCTCATAAGAAGCTCTCGTGTCTTATTATTATTGTTATTATTATTAATTCCTTTATGTTCCCAGTGGGACACGGGGGGCTTCAAGCTAGAGGCTTGAAGTTTCTGTGGCAGTGGTGTTTATTTTTACAGGATGGGGTTGCTAGCCTCATGCCCAAACTTTCCTCTTTACCAGCCTTTTATTTCTGGCTTAGCGAGGTAAAGGACTGCGCCTGTGGCCGAAGATCGAACCCCGGACCACCAGCGTGGTCGGCGAGCGTCTTAACCGCTGTGCCATCGACTCGTAACTTATGCCGTAGCTAAATAGCCTGAGGCATTACACCTGCATTATATAGGGTTTATTTGAAAACCAGTGACCACTACCCACGTGTAAGATCAATTCAATTCCCATCCTTGAATCAAGTCAACCTGTCCCGGATCAGCCTAGCGTTGTTGCTACCCAATTATCCATGCCTAACGTGTCTATCCCCCCTTGCTTAATGAACTGTGTGTGTGTTTTTTTACATCAATCCGTTTAGTGCCTATGCTCTGTCTATCTCTTACTTGGGTTCATTCTTCTACTGACTGCTTACCTGAACGGTCGTGTCTGATTCCGACTAGTTTGCGATTTTGGCTTTAACTTTATTCCGCTCTGATAGCGGTACTTTGCTTTCTGTTAAGCGTTGTGCTTTGTACTCTTGAAACCGTTAAGGTTTGTTGCAAATATAATTATTGATTTGTTTATTAATAGTACCGTAGAAACAGTGACCGGCTTCTTGTTTGTTCTGGACCGGGATAGCCCTTAATTTCAAGCGATATTGCGCTTACACCACGTGTTAAGTACTAATGGGAATCTCTTGATGTTGTGTACTATTCGAATACTAAGCTAACTGATACGATTCAGTTTTTATTTCTGGTCAGTTTATCAGGTGGTAGCACATAAGTGGAGTTTCGTATGTATTGACACTCACCAATATGATGCGTCAGTTGGAGCTTTCTGAGGTGCAAGTGTCAGATTAGTGGTAAACTTTTAGACATCAGAAATGAGAGACGTAGATCTGAGTCTTGCAAGCAACATAGATTTCTCGATCTTCCTTTATGCGGTATATTTATGCACTGTGGGAACTCGAACTGTGCAAAGTTCTACGTTAAAACCAATCAGGCAACTAAAGAAGAAAGTGTGAAATCACCCCGAAGAAAACCTCTTCACCATTAATGCGCCTAGATGAGGATTATTCAAAAGATAAAAATTGACATATTTATCAAATTGATTTATTGATTTATTTAAAATATCTATGAATATACTTTAAGAAATATATTTATATATATAAAATTGTAAAGTGCAAATGAGTGAATACCATTCAGCCGTAGACTGACTGACTGATGGGCAGACGTCGGGGCGGGGCGAAGAGAGAGATACAGCGCGCACTTTTCAAATCAAATAACTCAAAAGTTTCAAATAGAAGGTTGATAAAACAATCCTTGTTGGCAGGAGACAAATAAAAACTTATTACCAAAAACAAAAAAGGAAAACAAACACGATAATTAAATGCATTCCCTCATTGAGCAGATGATCGATAATGGTTGCAGTAATTTACAAAGATTCAAAGAAATTTGGCCATATAATAAAAGTAATATACACTTTGAACATACAACAGAGAAAAGAATGCTTTGACTGTTTATTTTTATAAATTTTTTTAAAGGATAAATATTGTTAATAATAGTAGTAGTAATAACAATTATATCAGTAGTAAATGAATCAATAAATAAAAAAAGGCAATAGAAAGAGAGTTAAATGGTTCAATGGGATGTTGTTTTATTGAATGTGTTCGATGTTCAATTGTTTTAGGCGGTCCTTTTGAATTACGTTTTACCACTGAGGCAATAATGATGAATTTTGTGAAATAACAATTGTTTTATTTAGCATATAAACTGTCGTGCATTATTCATTTTTGTTTGTTTAAACTGCATTGGACAGTGATGATGAACTTACAGGACACAAAATCGGCAAGTGACAAGAGGTTGGGGTTTGGAGAATTGCTGACGAAAAAGTGCCTAAATGTTTTTGGAGATAAAGAAATATAGACAAAAAAGGGAACACCTCTTCGTCCTAATTAGTGTTTTATGTGTAAAAGATTGTCGGGGAAAAGATACATAAGAAACTGTACAAAATCTCACTACAACAGTGACGTTGGTCAGTCAGAGGGGTAGGGCGGGTGAGGACTGACCTACCATTTTGTGGCATCGTTAGTACCAAATAACTGGTGTGTGTGTATGAGCTTATGTGGCAGTAACAGCAGTTTTACAAAATCATAAATAAGGCTAAAACAGGAGGAGGAGAGACGAGTATAGAGCAGCAATACAAAACAGACGAATAATAAAAAAAGAAACGATGACTTCAGTAGAATAAAGGCCACTTGACTTTGTTTTTGGTGATGTAAGTAAGAGGAGAGAGAGCTAAAGAAGTTTACAAATTTCACCTGATCACGGTTTACTAGGATTGGCAGTATTATTATTACTATTATTGTTAATCAATAAAGGTGACTGAATTGTAGGTTCACTGGTTAGTTTCTTTTGACCTGCCTAAATAAAAATACATAGAAGAGAAAAAAATGGGGAAGTAAGGGAAATCCTCCAACCAATCAAACAAAAAATCATAACTACAAAACTAATACTTGGAAATTGACCTGATGCTCAGTAGCGACTGGCCCTATTCAGGCGGTTAACCTGGGGTTCTAGTGGGAGGCCGTGACCAGTAGGGTGCAGCAGTAACCTATCGAAGAAGACATTGAGAAGTGGTTTCGCTATGTCGTGAATTGGCAGAAGTTAGAATTCATGGGCTGGCCATTGAATCGGTTCCCAGTGGCTGATAAATGGTCTACAAGCCAGCTCACCTTGTAAGCAGGAGGTCCTGGGTTCGAAACCCTGTGGTGGGTGCGTACTGTGAAGAGTCCCAAACTAGGCTGACGAAACAGCTGTCCAGTATTCCCAGCTGGTTTTCCAATGGTTCTCTAACTGATGTCAGCCCATGATGAAATCCTCCAACCAACCAAATAAAAAAATATTAATTGCGTAATCTCAGGTATGTGTTTATTTGTCTGTTTGTTCGGGGTGATATATTCGTCAAATACTTCGTTCGCTAAAGTAGATCTTTCCCGTAAAAACGCTAAATAGGATATTCTCTAGCCGCCTAGTGTTTCTAAGCAATGTGAACAGTGAACTTACGCATAGTATCACTTCAATGTGCCCCTGTAGAGAGTTAGGTAAATAGATTGCCTTGTGGGTGTTCTTTTAAAATGTGTTAAAGAAAACTACCCAGTATGGCTGGAAAGAGGCTGTACTGGTTTAGTCAGAAGCGCCAGTAGTTGAACACCTGTCATAGCATCTGCTTTCGAACGCCTGCAGTGGGTGGATGCGTACTGATGAAGATAGCCAAAGAACTAGGATGAAACAGCTGGCTGACTGTCTATAGTACTCCTTGCTAGTTTTCCAATGGTGCTCTAACTGTTGTCAACTAGTAATGAAACCTGATAATAGTCAAGATCACTGAAACCACTGTTTCTAATCGTTATCATGACGTGTAACCCAAGGCAACATTAAAACAGAAGTGTAGATTCACAAATATTGAACTGGCCTTACTGTATCACACATATTCATCGGCTAACTATGCAACATTACATCGCATATATGATAATCTATTGATAAAACGAAATCTGCCAGGTAATACTTAGATTCGTGAAGTTGGTTTGTGAGATCACTATGGGATATCAGTTCGAGAATCAAGGAATGCTGGACAGAGCTGTTTCGTCCCAGTTTCGGACTACTCAGGGGGTACGCACCTGCCCACCCACCAAAGGATCGAAAACAGGACCTTGCTGTTATGCAAGTGGATCTCGTAGACCATTCAGCCACTGAGACCTGACTCAATGCTCAACCCATGAATTCCAGTTTCTACTAGTTCGTGATTTTAATGTCACCGACACCGGTCAATGTCATCGCTGACTAGTATTTGTCCTCACTTTCAACCATGTAGACTCCCTATAATTGGTCACGAGAACTCTACACAGTTTCTCCCTGTGGACAGTTACTAGCGAGCGTCGGATTAATTTAAAGTTTACCTACTAGGGGGTACTGCATACGGCTGTTTCGTCCTAGTCTATGACTCTTCATCAATACGTATCCATCACAGTGGGTTCAAACCCAGGACCTTCTACCTACAAGTCAAACTCGTAAACCATTCAACCACTGGGACTCAACTCAATGACCAACGCATGAATTCTAACCTCTACCAGCTCGTGATTTAATATCAATCCGTGGTGGAACATTAAGTAAACTTGAAAATTAATGTGACGATCTTTAGTGAATGGCTACTGGACGGAATTGCCTGCAGTGGGGGTCTACCATGTTGGACATGAAGGTAACTATTCCCCGATGATACTGACTGGCGCTAGCTGCGGTTAAATCACCAGTTGGTAGAAACCACAAGTCAAAGGTTGGCCACTGAAACGGGTCCCAGTGGCTGGCTGAATGGTCGTCTACGAGGTAGCTCACCCTGTAACCGGTAGGCCACGGCTTCGAACCCCCGTAGAGGGTGAATGCGTATTGATGAAGAGTCCCAAACCGGGATGAAACAGATCTCCAGTACTCTATAATTATTACTATTATTATTGTTTCCTTTAATTCCTAGAGGAACATAGGGCTTCAGCCGTGCGTCTCCATTGCGTCCGGTTCTCTGCTAGAGTCTTCACCTGGCTCCAAGTCTGCCTACATGCTTTCATCTCCTCTTCACATGACCTCCTCCAAGTCACCCTTGCACTGACGACCAACTCACCGCTTCCCTTTCGGGTCTCACTCGAGCAATGGCTTGTCTAGTGATGTCACTTGATGGTTTCCTCAGAGTATGTCCACCAATCCATCTCCATTTCTTCCTGCCTATTTGTTTCACAATCGGTTCCTGTTTGGTTCGCTCCCAAAGATCCCTGTTGCTGATCTTTTCTGGCCATCTGATCTTGAGTATTGAGGGGAGACAACTGTTAATGTAGCTTGTTTGAGATGCTCTTTATGACGCGCCAAATCTCTGATCCGATTAGTAAGTAGCACCGATTTCACATCGGAGTTGAAAATCCGGATCTTATTTTTGATGCTGAGAAGTGGCTGTTGACCTCCACACAGACTTGAGAGTAGTGAAAGCTTGTCTTGCTTTTCCGATTCTTGCTTTGATATCCTCGTCAGTTCCTTTGGCCTGTAGTTGAAACGATGCTTTCAGGTAGGCAAAGGAGGTTGTTTCTTTCAGGTTTCTCCCATTTATGCTGATTGTTGTCTGTTGTTGTTGTTGTTGCTGTTGGTGGTATTGCCCAGGAATCTTCAACACCTCTGTTTTCTCTATGTTTACCTGAAGTCCTATCTTTGATACTTCTTCTGCCAACTTGTTGCTTTTCGCTTGCATATCTTCCAGTTTGTGGGAAATCAGACATATATCACCGGCGAAGTCCAGATCCTCCAAGTTTTTTGTGTGAGTCCATTTTATGCCTGTTTCCTCATTGCCCGCTGTTTGTCGCATTATCCAATCTACTGCAATCAGGAAAATTATTGGCGATAGTAGGCAGCCAGCTTGTCTTACTCCTGTCCTCACTTCGAAGGATTCCGTAAGTTTCCCGTTGTGGATTACTGAGCATGCAGCATTGTCGTACAGCTGTTGGATAAGATGCATGATTGTCGGTGGCACCCCGTAGTAGTGAAGTAGTTACCAAAGCACCTCTCGATGAACGCTGTCTGCTGAAGGCCTTTTCAAAGTCGATGAAGTTGAGATAGAGAGGTGACTACCATTCCAAGCTTTGTTCAATGATGATCCGTAATGTGGCGATCTGATCAATGCATGACTTGTTTTTCCTTCATCCAGCCTGTTCTAGTCGAATTTTTTCATCCAGGGCATGTTTGATTCTCTCTAAACCGCATCATCTTGCCAAAAAGTTGCAAAAAACTATTGCAATTATTTGCCTTTGAATCACTGAATCTTTGGATATAAACTTTGTTGTTGGATAATACGTATAACTATCTATTTGCCGCTCTGTGCTTGTCTAACACTAATTAATATCTATAACTGTACATATTGATGGACTTACATGTTCAAGTTGGCTCAAGTCAGTGAGTCTATGATTTTGGTATCATTTTGGTTACCTGTACTTGACTGTGATATTATTATTGTTGTTGTCGCTTGTTACCCTTCTTGTTGTGAATTATTTCCCCGTGCTGGTGTTTTTCTGCTTGTTTATTCCCTGGTTTCCTGGTTTTTAAGGGGAGCAACACACAAGGTCGCTTCTCACTAAACTATAATTTAATGTAACAACCCCTGCCTATCAGGCGTGAGGCTAGCAACCCCACCCTGTAAACAAAGTTGCTGCAGAAACTCTATAGGAAAAATTAACCAATATCTAATCAGAAACATAATAAAAATGAATGAATGAAAGAAAGAATAAATTACCTGTTGTCTAGCTAAATCATTCAATAATGGATTTGGTCTACCTGAGATACCCAATTGGGCTAAATGAATTAAATCACAGCCTTGTTCAGGTAATGAACTCGCATCTGATTCATCACATGTCCCATCATTACTACGTACATCGATACCAATATCACTTGAATTATGATGATGATGATGTTGATCTAATGTCTTTGATGATGACAATCCTAGCAGCTGATGAGTATTCATTTGTTGTGATTCTGGTGATAAGTATTGATTCTTATTAGTGTTATTGATTGTTCGATTAGCCAAAGATGATGGATGACAAATATCATCTCGTCGAAATGCCGATAAACTGAAATCACTTCCAACATCATCTAGATCACCTAATAATGGATGGGTACTTCCACCGGAACCGCCGCCGGCGCCAACCTATATGTATACAGGAGTCAAAGAAAAGATAATGAAGAGTTTTTTTTTAAAAAAAAACGTTGAAGCTTTGAGTAGATCACTTCAATAACGCGTAACATCTGATTTAATTAATTCATTAGACAGCGAAAACCAAATGTTAGTGAAGTTTAAATATAATTTATGTTTAATTCAATTTTATATTTTCCTGTTGATTCCTTGAACCGGTATGTTTAGGCTATGTTACACAAGAGGTGATAGCTCTCGTGCACCACCACTCCCGCACAAGTGGTCTAGTGGATAACACGCTTCAGCATTTTAAAAAGATGGGTACTCACTGGTAACAACATCACTCACTCACTCACTCATTGTGGGGGAATGCAGGTATATCTGTAACGACCGAGGACAAAGGCTAGGCAAAAGATTGTTTATTGAGAAAATCAAGAGATATTTATAGATTTTTATGTACAGTATTGCCAGAGGAGAAGCAACTTATTCTGATTGGTTGTTTTCTTGATGAAGGTTATTTCGTATTGATTGTGAACGTTTCTCAGAAAGTTAGGCCATATATCTGCGAATCGTATTTGCACACGTTAAGTCTGCTGTGATTGGTTGGTGAGTTTCTCAAGGTTAAGATTTGTTATTGTTTTTCTCGTGACGCTGATTCAGAACGTGAACATTGACGTAAATCACTGTCTACACCCAGCTCCCATCACACATCTATCTAGCTGACACAAGTCCCGAACAAACGACGAAATGGGCATCTTGGTGGACTGATTCCACCACTGTAGCCAATCACCATCCATCAAATTACATCAGGTCCAAATATAGTCTAAGTCCTTTGCTTGAGGTAATTTAGGTTTTCTTTTATAAAAAAAATCAGGTCAAATCGAGCGAAGAAATATGTACTCCTTCTCAATTAGTAGTTTCTCATCATCAAAATTTTACTAGTCAAGTGGTTATTTTAGTCCATCAATTTTAGGTTCAGCAGGTGTGTGTGTGTAAATAAGAGATTACTTTGATTGGACAGTAGTACCTAGTGTGATATGTCTAGTCCTTTGACCAGGAAACCTAGATCCAAGGCTTCCTGCCGATTGCCTCCAACCATCTAATATCATCAAAGCGATGTGCACCGTGATGGCGAGCTACCTAAAATGAAAGGCCACATTGCAAACGTGACTGACTGATAGAATTCAGTCTGCACCGAACAACCAAAGGACTAGACACATCGCACTAGTTACTGGTGTCCATTCAAAGTATCCGATATAGTCCTGCAGGAGGTCAGTTGCGAGCCCGAATGGCTCAGTGGTAACGTCACTGACTGCAGTACTCATTAGGTGGGTTGCGAGAGCAAGTACATTGGAAGGAAGGAAAGAAAGACTTCTATCCGGTTTTCTGAACATATTCCAAGAAACCTATGCCTGAAAGGAAGAAAATATTCCCAGAGTGCAATTACCAGACATATTGTTGATACTGGACATCTCGTAGAGATTTCTAAGTCCTTCAAAATATTAAATAGACAAAGGACAGCAAATTCACTACGATTTGCCGAAGCGATCGCAATCAAACGATTTAAACCAGACTTATGCATACAGAAAGAGAGTGTGATTAACCTCTCACTCCCTTGGTAACTGAATTTTGATTTTGATTAGTCATCTTTTTCAGTGATCTCAACTCACTGAGCAAGTTTCAATCTTATAAACTGTAAATGCTTTTGTTTTTTGGAGTTGCCATGTGAACCTACAAGCTAACACTGTTTCTGTCAATCAATTTTTCTGTTTTCTGTCTTACCCCTCCCCCCCTTTTCAACTTTGAAAGTGTATAAATTGATCGTGATAACTTAAACTAAAAGTTGTAATGCTTTCATTCCCCTTTTTTGGATGCGTCAATTTTATCTCTTCTCTACTACTACTCAAACATCAAAGTATGTTATTATCATTTATATAACCATTGTAATTTCAGGTAGTCTGCAGCTGATGAGAACCTGTGAAATAGGTTAGTGATATCATTTTATACTGCAAATTTCATCTTCCTTTCTTTATCGAAATTTATCAAGGGAACCGGTTGTATGAAAAATCAAAAGCCAAAAAACCAACGTACCATATGTCCACTTGAAAGAGGAGGAGCAGGTGGCGGATAAAGCATTGACGATGATAATGACGATGTAGAATTCTCTTGATTATTACTGGCAGCAGCACCAGCAGCAGCAGTAGCATTTCCACTCCATATTGGATAAGTTGGATTAAACTGTGATTGATGATGACCCGCTGCACTGCCTGCCTTCGATTGTATATAAGTTGATGATGATGATGATGGATTAGGCATAAAAGTCATTGTATATGGATTGAATAGATTTCCAGGATTATTATTACCTATACTACTGATATTGTTATTGTTGTTAGTAGTATGTGGTGGATGAGTAAAACTCATTATTCCATTGCCTTCATCTAAACTCAACTTTTCTTCATCATCACCAGCGCCACAGCCGCCTGTGTTGTCGTTTCTTCCTCTTTGTGGAATATATCCACCAGTAAAACAACCATTTATACCATCATTACCGCCTAAAGAATCCGTTGATGTAGGCACCAGCAGGGTACCGTGTTGATGATAAATATGCTGTTGTGTTGGTATCATTGTTGACTCTGTTGATGGAGATAAATGCGATGGATATTGTTGATGGTGTTGAAGTAACACCTGCTGTTGTTGTTGGTGGTGATGTAGAGGATTCATCTGACTATTCATCTCTGAGTAATCATCCGTGGCCACCTCTTCATAAGGATGTTGATAATATGATTCAAAGTTATCTAAAAATTAGGAAAAAAATTTTATTTGTATGATTTATAAATAAAAAATAAAAATATTTTGACAAGAGTGAAACAGAATGAGTAATGGTAGAAAGGAATATGAGAATGAAGATTACAGAGACTGAATACATCTGCGTAAGCCATTGACAACGATTTTGAGCCATGTCACCTATTGTCTCAAGCCATTGATTCTTAGAGTCCTGAGAGTGGGCCCCGACCCGGAAGTCTGCATCTCCCTCCCTACCTGACTCAGTTTGACTGTCAAGGATTTCATGGATTGATTGATGCCATGTTTTTGTTTGACCGCCACCTACTCTTTTCCAACCTGCACCTATATCAGCTAGTAATGCCCGTCGGGAGACGAAGGCGATGGTTATGCATGCGCAGCACCTGACCTAGCCATCTCAATCTATGTAACTTTATAGCCTCTTCGATTGATTTTCCCTCTTTGCCCAACACTACGCCTAACGTCAACATTACTTACCTTATTATGCCACCTAACGTGAGAAAGAGATCGTAGACATCTATGATCAAAAACAGTCAACCTTTTCATGTCTTCAACTCGTATTCGCCATGTTTCAGAGCCATAGAGAAGGACGGATCGAACTGCTGAGCAGTACACACGTCCCTTGGTTGACAGTCGGATGTCACGCCTACGCCAGAGATGGTGTAAGTTAGCGAAAGCAGCAGCTCGAGCTTTTTGGATCCGTGCTGAGATTTCGTCACCAATCAATCCTTTGGTGCTGATACAACATCCCAAATAGGTGAAGTGGTCAACATGTTCTATCATTTCACTCCCTGACACTAAGCTAATATTTTCTATAGTTTGTTTTTTAAGGGTTAGTTATATTTTTACGAGTTGATCACGGAATGATGTCAATTAGAGAACCCCTGAAAACCACAACTGAGTACTGGACAGCTGTTTCATCCAACTAGTTTGGGATGCATCGGCAGTACGCATACACTACAGGGGTTCGAACTCAGGACCTTTAAGTTACAAGGCTAGCAAGCTCGTATACCATTCAGCTACTGGAACAGGCCCGATTCAATGGTCAGTGCATGAATTCTAAATTCTACCAATTCGTGATTTAGCGCGACCACCAACCAATGTCATTGGTGGGACATCTATCCAATCAAGTGTAAGGACGGTTGTATACGCGCTTTCGTTGTAACCGGGAGGTCCTGGGTTCGAATCCCAGTGGGTGCGTACTGCCAATGATTCCCAAACTAGGATGAAACAGATGTCCAGTATTCCCTGCTTGTTTTTCAATGGTTCTCTAACTGATATCAATCCGTGATTAACTCGTAAAAAAAATAACAATATGATAGTAATTATAATTTCAATATATTAAATGTTCCCATAGCAAAATTTAGAACAACACATTTAAGGGGAACAATATTGCTGTTTATCAATTAGATCTGATCAGGCTTAGTTAACTCTAATATACATAACTTTATAAAAAAATAGATTTATCTAAGCTGATGGGAATATAAACATAGACGAAGTGTTGATGAAATTCAACAACATCCACCCTTCGCTTACTTTTACTTGTGATGTCACTTGATGGCTTTCTCAGAGTATGGCCAATCCAATCCACCTCTATTTCTTCCTGCATATTTGTTGCATAATTGGTTCCTGCTAGGTTGGTCCACTCATTACCAGAAATCCTTAACTGATGCTGATCATTTCTGGCCAGTCATCTGATCCTGAGTAGTGTCGAGAAAAGACAGCTGTTGATGAAGGTTTGCAGTTAGTTCGAAGTGGCTTTCGTGATGCTGCGTCAAGTCTCTGATTCGTATAGCAAGTAGCACTGACTTCACATTGGAGTTGGAAATCCGGATCTTATTCTTCCTCCTGGGTGCTGAGTGTTGATCTCTACAGAGACTTACTTTCCCAACCCTGGCTTTGATATCTTCATCAGTTCTGTAGTTGAAATGATGCTTTCCAGTTCGGTAGGTAAAGGAGGTTGCTTCTTTCAACTTTCTCCCATTTATGCTAACTGTTGTCTGCTGTTGCCGTTGGCTAGGAATCTTCATTACCTACCTCTGTTTTCTCTATGTTCACCTGAAGAAATTCCTATCTTTGATGCTTCTTCTGTCATCAACTTGTTGCTTTTCGCTTGCATATCTTCCAGTTTGTGGGAAATCAGACATATATCATCGGTGAAGTCCAGATCCTCCAAGTTTTTTGTGTGGGTCCATTTTATGCTTGTCTTCTCGCTACCCGCTGTCTAGCACATTATCCAGTATATCACAATCAGGGAATTTAATCATTGGGGATAGTGGGCAGCCAGCTTGTCTTACTACCGTCTTCATTTTTTCGAAGGATGCCGTGAGTTTCCCATTGTGGATTACTTGGCATGCAGCATTATCGTACAACTGTTGGATGAGATGTATAACTGTCAGCGCCACCCCATAGTGGCGACGCTGCTGAAGGCCCTTTCAAAGTCAATGAATTTGAAATAGAGAGGTGACTGCCATTCCAAGCTCTGTTCAATGATGATCCCTAGTATTGCGATTTGATCGATGCATGACTTGTTCCTCCTGAATTCAGCCTGTTCCGGTCGAAGTTTTTCATCCAGGGTGGCGTGTTTGATTCTTTCCAGGATGATGCGGCTTAGTATTTTGCTTGAGATAGACAGCAGCTCAGTGCCATGCCACTTCTATGTAGCTGAGGAAATTGGCGCGTGAGTTGTGAAAAGCATTTACAACAGGCTACCGCTGACTTTTTAATCGACAGCTGCCTTCACTGACTCCACTATGAAGATTAAGTGGCTGGTCAGAAAGGAGGATTATCAACACAAGGAACTCTGCAGGTAACGAATCAACCAACAATCTGTCTGCCGCGCAAAATATATGCAGAATAAAATGGAGACGTATTGGATATACACTGTGGAGACTCTTGGTGACATCACAAGCTAAGAATGTGGTTTTGTGGACCTAGAATAGGAAACAATAAATTTGGCGTGGATTCGAAGGTGAAGACAAGAATGAGACGAGGCTGCCCGCCTACTATCACCTACAGTGATATTCTTGATTTTGATGACGGGTACAGGTTGAACCGACAAGAAGACTCTAGAAGATTTGAACTTCTCTAGGGTTTTGTGTCTAAATGTCACAAAGACTCGAAGACCTACAGGTAAAAGTCAACAAGTTGACAGAAGAAGCAAGCAGCAAAGACAGGACTTCAAGTAAATACTACACAGAGAAGACAACAACCACCAATCAATATCACAACGGAGGAAATTTGAAACAGGTCACTTTCTTTACTTTATCTAGTCTATATCCTTTCAACTAGAGACAGTCGGCACGGATAAGGATGTCAAAACTAGCCAGAATCAGGAAGGCGAGAAAGGCCTTCATCACTCTGAAATCAATTTGGAAATCTTCTCCACTCCGCCTCAGTATTATTATTGTTCCCTTGGGTTCCTTGTGGAACATAGGGCTTCAACTGCACGTCTCCACTTCCTTCTGTCTTCTGCTGTACTTTTCACCTGCATCCATGTTAGTCCATACTGTTTCAACTCCTCTTCACACGATCTCCTCCACGTCACCCTTGGACGTCCCACTCGCCGCTTCCATTACGGGCTCCACTCGAGTGCCCGACGCGCGATGTCACCCAGCGGCCTCCTCAGTGAGTGTCCAATCCATCTCCACTTTCTCCTGCATATTTGTTGAGCGATTGGTTCTTGTTTTGTTTCTTCCCATAGTTTCTTGTTGGTGATTCTTTCCAGCCATCTGATCTTCAGTATAGAGCCAGCGAAGACAGTTGTTGATAAAGGTCTGCAACAGGCTGTTGGAAATATTCTTTGTGACACACTGGCCAAGTTTCTGATCCGTACGTATAGAAGAACTGACTGACTTGACGTTTGTATTGAAAATCCAAATTTTGTTGTTGAGCGTTACTGAGTGACGAAGATTTCCAGATTGGTTTCAGGTTGATGAATGTGTTTCTCACCTTCCCGATTCTCAATTTGACATCCTCGTCCGTTCCTCCTGTTGTTGAGACAATGCTCCCTAGATAAGTGAACGAAGTAACCTCTTTCAAATCCCTCCCGTTGATGGTGATTAGCGCATCTCACATCTCCAACATCAATGTTGGAGAGTGAGTCAGTTCTTCTATATCGATTCAGAGATTTGGTGAGCCACTAAAAGCACTTCCAACAGACTACTGCACACCGGTCAGGAAGAATTGCCAACGCAAAGGAATGTCCAGTAGCCTAGACAGAATGGGATTCGAACCCGGGACAAGTCTTGTCTGTATATCGAACATAGTGATTAATGATAACAGCCAAAGGGACACACCACCAAATAAAGGATCACTTACCTTGTATATTATGATTATGATTTTGAGTGTTATTCGTCATCATGTTATATTCTATTGGATGATTTGACTCATATACAGGTCTATAATTGGGCATATTGATATTACGATTCAAAATTTGTGGTGAAGTGAACAGCTGAAGAGAGTTGGGTTGTTTATCATTGTGAATCGGCGGGTTTTGTTGTTGTTGTGGTTGTTGATGTGAATCTAATGATTGACAATATGCATGTTGTACAACATTGGATGAAAATTTAGTATTACCATTATTACTACTGTTATTGTTGTTAGTAGTAGGATACGTTTGTAGTAATTTATTATTGACCAAACTTTGTTGTTCATTTGTATTCAAGCCGGAGGAGATATGCAGCAGATGGGCATCAGCTTCAGGTTCACTGTGTTGACCAGTAAATTCTTCTGTAAGCACACAGCACACACACACATACAAACAAACAGTCAACGAGAGATGAAATAAAAACCCAGGAAATATTTCATTATGATGCAAATATATGTAAAGTTATTAAAAGTAGTATGATGAAAATTATGTAATACGATACATGTTACGTAATCGTCATGTAAAACATCTGTGACAGTGTACGTTATTATTATTGTTCCCTTGGGTTCCAAGTGGAACAAAATAAGGCTTCAACAACACTTCCCCGTTTTGTTCAACTTTCTGAGGTCCTTATCCACGGAATTTCATCAAAAGACAATCCACCTATCAAACCAAAAGCCCCCAAAGAAAGCACAAAGAAAATCGCCTTACCATATATAAAGGATATCTCAGAAATCACTGCAAGACTCTTCAAACCTTTAGGAATTGACGTCGTACACAAACCAACAAAGTCACTTCACTCAGTTCTATGTCAACCAAAAGACTCAACAGTGAAAGAAGATAAAACCAACATCATCTACAAAATAAATTGTATCAACTGCGAAAAACACTACATTGGCCAAAGTGGACGTCCCTGCCCTTCGTCTTCGTATCCATGAACATAAGCTAGCTGTCAAAAGACATGACATCCACTCCCTCATATCACCTCACTACATACAGAAAACCACGGATATCAATTAGAGTGGGACAACGTTCAAATATTAGACAAAGGAAACACCAAGAATGCTAGAGAATTTTTAGAAGCCTGCCTAGCATTCCAGTGGATCGTCAATCAAAAGACACATCGAGATTGACAAAATTTATCAACCGATCAGAAGGCAACCTCACACACAAATGGTCAAAGTTCAAGTCAAAGAAACAATGAGTTACAATACAAATAACCTAGAAGGTGTGAAAACACACAAAAACAACCAATGACGTCCAAGGTCACCCACCAGGAGAGATGATTAATAAACTCGTGGAGAAATCTGAAGGCACACTTCAACAAATTGAAGTATGCACTGAAGATGTCACCTAGTAGGGTGATGAAAGCTTCACAAATTAACTATCCAGCTGCTCAGAGAACACAACCACATCAAAATCATCCACCTGAGCTACAAATCTTCTCTATCATAACTAGAGGTCCTTTTTAGCTGGTTTGCCCCACGATTGCTCATAATCTCTGATCTCCTTCATGTCACCGTCGAAGTGACGCCCCACTCGTCGTTTCCCATTCGGGTTCCACTCGGACGATATCAGCCAACGGTCTCCGCGCAATGTGTGTCGAATACATCTCTATTTTCTTCGTCATATTCCCTTGTTCAGTAATGGGGAGTTCTAGGTTGGTTCGTTCCCAGAGTTTCTTGTCGCTGATTCTTTCTGGCCCGTTGGCCAGCCATCTGATCTTCCCCCTATGGAGCCAGCGAATTGGACAGTGTTGTAGATAAAAGTCTGCAGTGCCCTGTTAGAAATGCTTTTCGTGACCTTAGCCAAATTTCTGACCCATATGGAAAAACTGACTGTTTAACATTCAAGTTGAAAGATCCAATCATTAGATGGTCGCAGGAAGCCTTGCCTAGACCTAGGTTTCGTGCTAGTTGGCACTCACTGGTGGTCAGCAAGGCATATCTGCAACTGCCTTGAAGGAACTCATGTCTCTTCTCAGATTCGAACCCGTGTCATCCAGTGATTACTGCAGTCATAGACGCTATCACTGAGCTATTCGGGCTAATGTCCAATCAAAATATCCAATACAGTCCTACAGGAGGTTAATGTCTGTGACTGCAGTGCTCACTGGGTGACGCGGGTTCGAATCCGAGAAGAGACATGAATTCCTTCAAGGCAGTTGCAGATACGCCTTGCTGACCACCAGTGAGTGCCAACTAGCACGAAACCTAGGTCAAGCAAAGCTACCTGTGACCGATTGCCTTCAACCATCTAATATTGTCAAATCAATGTGCACCGTAATGGCAAGCTACCTAGTAGTATGGTGGCCACATTGCAAACGTGACTGACTGATAGAATTCAGTCTGCACCGAACAACCAAAGGACTAGACACATCACACTAGTTACTAGTATCCCATCAAAGATCCACTTTTGTTCCTCATGTTGAGTTCAGCAGTAGATTTTCAAGCTGATTTCAGAGTGATGATATCGCCTCCCAGTACGGACACTTCGACGATTTCTGAGAATTAACTGGAAGTAATTTAGGTAGATGGTTACTAGCGCACAAGGAATCCACGAGGATGCGTATTTCGTCCTTTATTTGGAACTTGTGTCAGTTGGATGAGATAGTGTTCGCATGCCTTGGCATCTGAAATGATGGCTACTGAGGAATGCAGGTACTTCCAAATGACACAAGTCCAAAATAAAGGACGAAATGAGCATCCTCGGGGACTCATTGTGCTAACTATCCATCCAGTATCCTTAATGAAAAATTTTTTAGCGACACCCTAGAAATCAAGTATTGGTTTGTAGGGATTTGGTTGATTAGTTACAGGATTTCATCATGAGCTGATATTGGTTAGAGAACCATTGGAAAATCAGCTGGCAGTACTGGACAGCTGTCCCAAACTAGGACGAAACAGCTGCCCAGTACTCCCTGTTGGTTTTCCAATGGTTCTCTAACCAATGTCAGCTCATGATGAAATCCTGTAACTAATCAACCAAATCCCTACAAACCAATATTTGAATATCAATGAGATGCTCACTGATGACTGGCCCTATTCAGGTAGGTAGTAGTTACCTGGGGTTCTAGTGGGAAGTCATGACCAGTAGGGTGCAGCAGGTCGTCGGGTGTGAGGACAAATACTCGCCACGGAAGACATTGGCTAGCGGTTGCGCTATGTCGTGAATTAGCAGAAGTTAGAATTCATGGGCTGGCCATTGAATCGGGTCCCAGTGGCTTAATGGTCTACGAGCTCGCCTTGTGACCAGAAGGTCTTGGGTTCGAACCCCAGTGGGTGGGTGCGTACTGATGAAGAGTCCCAAACTAGGCTGACGAAACAGCTGTCCAGTACTCCCTTGGCTGGTTTTCCAATGGTTCTCTAACCAATGTCAGCTCATGATGAAATCCTGTACCCTAGAAATCAACTTATCCGACAAATTGTACTAGTGAAAAAAAAAACAGATAAAGAAACTATCTTACCTGAGCTAAATTTCGATGAATTGTTTACCGCACCATAACGCTGTTGTTGCTGTTGCTGTCTCATAGATAAAGATTGTGGTTGAATAATATTCAGATTATTATTGAGTGAGGAGGAACACGATGAAGACGATGTTGTCCGATTATTACTATTATTATTATTACTATTATGCATAGCTATAAGATTGGCTGGATTATTTAGTGAATTGACAGGAGTACCAATGGCAACAGGAGGAGCACCAGTAGTTAGCGTTGATCCACAACTGCCCCCTCCGCCACCGCCGGCACCACCGCCAGACCGGGATGTTTTCGATGAACTTAACGATGAATTGGTTGAATTCGATTGTTGTTGATGTGGTATATTATTTTGTGGATTTGTGAAATAACAGGTTGATTTCAAGTCTTGAAATTGATGATGATGATTGATCGATTTGGAAAGGGTGGAAGAGAATGCGGTGATGTAATTGGCGTCATTGGCGTTGTTGACGGGGGGATAAAATGTTTCGACTGTGTACTACTACTTCTGTTATGACTATTACCGTCATTATCCTTATTATGATGATGGCTGGAGTTAGTTTTTTGACATTCTTCACAACCTGATTCATTGCATTCAATTTCTTCCCATTCACCTTCAGAATCTAAATAGGATTTACGATGACCATTATCAGTAGTATTATTATTATTATGAGTAGTATCACCAGTTGCTGATTCAGAATTGATATCTACATAGGATAGAAAAAATTGGATAGAATACATTAATATATATGTGTAAAACTCGTGCACTGTGGTAGTAAGTATTTCCATATTACTTTATTTATTAGACGTATCACACACAGGGTGAAACAGTATTATTTACTGGATGACAAGGTTTCGAACACAATTTATTGTTCATAATCATTTCATCAGTTATAATCACACGACTTCGAAACTTCAGTTTTATAGTTTTCTTTATCTATCCTATTTGTCATCGTTGGGGTAGTAGAATTTCTCAGATATCTGGGTGGACAGGTGTTGAATCATTCCTGTTACATGTATTTGCAGTTGACTCGATAAACAGTCACTCAGAAACGAATTCATTTCTGACCAAGTACTCGACCTTAGGACAAAATTGCCACTTGAGGACATAATGCTGGGAGTACAGCTATGCTTGACTTCCACAGTATTTAAATTCCTCCAAGGGAAAATATACAAACAAAATGAGGGAGTTGCCATGGGATCAACAATATCCCCAGTTGTAGCAGATATATTCATGGATAAGTGGGAAAACATAGTGATTGAGACGTTCACCCCTACCCACCCCAAAAGTATGGTGGAGGTATGTAGATGACACATTCATTGTACTTAGAACACAGAATGTAGATAGATTTTTCGAACACATTAACTCGAAGGTGGAGGCAATTCAGTTCACTTATGAATTGGAATGTCAGGAAGGGGAACTCCCAATGTTAGATTGCAGTGTTAAAAGGAAAGAAGATGGGAAGTTAAACAAACTAGTGTTTACAGGAAACCTACACATTCAAACAGATATTTGGACTTCCGATCATCCCATCTTATGTCAGTAAAAATAGGATTGGTGAGATGTTTAATTAACGGAACACAAAAAACTAAGTAGTACCAAGGAAAATCTAAGACAGGAAGTGTTACATATAAGAGAATCCTTGAAACTTAATAATTACCCTGATAAATTAGTCAGGAAATATGTAAGGAAATTTAAAAATAAAATAAATAATGATAGTAGTGATAGTGATAGTAATAATATTAATGACTACATGCATGCCAAACATGCGCAAGACAACACCAACAATAAGGAATCCAAATCATCAGTGGTAATTCCATACAAGGAACGAACCTCGGAAACCACTTCACAAAGAATTCTTAACAAGGCAGGAATAAAAGTGGCTGCCATTCAAACATACAAACTCAATTAGAAACAAGCTCTGTCGGTTAATCCTGTCGAGCCTTTAAAACAAAACCCTGCAATGATTGTCAGGTCAAATAAATAGGTCAAACTAGTAGAACAGGGGCAGTCAGACTAGCCGAACATAAAAACCTGGCAAAATCTAGATTAGTTGACCCGAATAAGATAAGAAATCTAGAGAATAGTTCAGCTATAGCACTCACTGCATACATCACACACAACCATACAATAGGATGGGATAAGATGACAGTTTTAAAATCTTGTGCAAAAGGGTGGAGGAAGAGATTGATAACAGAAGCTTCGTTTATCGAATCAACTGCAAAGACATGTAACAGGAATGATTCAACATCTGTCCACCCAGATATCTGGAAAATTTTACTACCCCTAAGACAACAAACAGGAGCAAAGAGAGAAAACTATAAAACTGAAGTTTCGAAGTCGTGTGATCACAATTGATATGATTATGAACAGTAATAAATTGTGTTCGAAACCTTGTCATCCAGTAAATAATACTGTTTCATTGACTGTGTGATACATCTAATAAACAAACTAACATGGATAAAATACAACAAGTTTAATGTAAAGCAATCAACCAAAAATTATCAATATACTACAAGAATCAATTGTGTGCGTGTGTATGTGTGTGTGTCGGCGTTTTTCCACAATAGAACACTCACTAACATATTCCACATGATCTGAGGTTCGATTTCCAACCTCCCCCCGCCGCGAACGTACTTACCCTTAAAATTCGCTAAGCCAGTAACAGATAGAGAATTCTTAGACAGATCGGCTCAAAGTGAACCTGTATTGAGAAGAAATCACTTCCATTCTTTACATTGTCATGGTAACGATAGCGCCATTTGGATTTAGTAATAATGATAATAATAATAGTAATAATAATCTACTTTATTCCAAAACAGACAGTACTTATAATACAGAATGGAAATCTAAGCATTTGTCACAATATTGGATCTAATTTACTCAGAATATAAATAAAAGTAGCTAGAGGAATTTGTCCACATTCACAGTAGGAATAAAGTTGAAAATGCGCAGTGTACAAAATAGGAATAATAACTCCACTAGTAATAATAATAACAACAGTGAATTTGTTTCAAACAGTATTGTCGATTCAGTTTGAAAATTTTAGAATGTTATAGATTATTGAATCTAATGTACTGCTGATATAGCAGCATGGTGAGGGGAAAGACAAAAAATAACAGTTATAACGCAGCTTAAATGATGTTCACACTTATGAGAAAATAAAGAAAAACGAAAAATTGAGAGAATTATAAATTTAAGAAAAGCAATAACAATAAAGCTTGGTGGTATAAGGGTGGAGAAGATAGTTTATTTACTAGTGAAATAATTATCAAATGGCCCAATGGGATGCCACCACTTGCTCTACTGACAGTATTTTAGAGTTCTATGAAGTATGACGTAGTCTTTTTTAAGCAATCCAGGAGAGAATAAGTAAGGGTGAACAGTAAAGAAGAATAGTTAATATGGGAAAGTTGACAAACTGTAAGAGGAGTTATGCCTGATGGCCTTAACTTCTTAATGTAAAAAGTCGGACGAAATATTCTTTTAGAAATCGCTAAGACATGGGAAGACCAGGATAGGTCAGAAGAAAGAACTTATCCAAGATACTTAACTTCAGACTTGATTTCTATATCCCTATCATCAATTTTGAAACGGTTATAGGAATTAACAGTTTCATTTAACTTTCTTTTACATGGGAAACCGAAATTAACAGTTTCACATTTAGAAGGATTTAGTTTAAGACCATTAAACAAAGACCGTTTGCTGACCCCTGATAAAAAGTTGTTCATCTTAGTACAATCTAGCTGGGAGTTAAAAGACCTTGAAACAGTCAGATCATCCGTATACTTAACAAAGTTCATTTCATCATCAGAGTGAGGCAAGTCATGCAAGAAGAAAGAAAACAGAAAAGGAGAAAGAATAGCTCCTTGAAGGACGCCAGCCTCAGTAAGCCATGAAGTGGACGAATTCCCTTGACATACAGTATCCTGCTTTCTTCCTGAGAAATAAGAATGCAGCCATTTGACAACCCAACAGTCAGTTTGAGTTACAGCAAGCTTATTTAACAAAATATCCCTAAGTACTGAGTTGAAAGCAGATGTATGTAATCTAGGAAGGAACAGCGAATTAAATTCAGCCCCTTTGTCTAAACTACAGACGATGTTATGATACAAGAAGACAGCGCAGCTGCATCTAAAGTACTTCTACGATGTTTGTAGGCAAATTGTTTGGGATCGCCTCAAATTTCCTCATTCTCTCACTTACTGTTATTTTCTAGTCATAATTTCTTTTCCAAGGGTTGGTTTGTAAGAATTTTGATTGATTTCAGGTTCTGATGACGAGTTTACGTCAGATAGGCAATCCCATTAAAAAACCTGGGAGTACTGAACAGTTGTTTCGTCCTGGTTTGAGACTCCTCATCAGCACACACACAACCACAGGGGTTTGACTTCAAGACCTTCCGAATACAAGGCATCTGATCCAATGGCCAGCCCATGAACTCCAACTTTCACCTATTCGCCACTGTCATCAGCCGGTAATTGTTCTCTAACCTAACTTGGCAGACCCCGCTGATTATGACTTCGGGTCCCAGTAGCTGAATGATCTACAAGTTGGTTTTGTAACCGGAAGGTTCTGGATTCGATCCCTGGTGAGTGGATTCGTACCACTGATGAGTGCCATACTAGGACGAAACGGCTGCGTCCAATACTCCCTGGTTTGGTTTTCAATGATTCTCTAACTGATATCAATCCGTGCATGGGCAAATTTGAAATAATAACAATAATATTAAAACATATTAAACTTTAAATACTCGACAGGCGTGTACACACCAACGAATGACCATAGAACGTTCAGAGCCAGAGCAAAGCTGTTAAATGAGGCAAATAACCCACTACATTCATGGAAAAAAATGTTGAACCAAGTGTAAGGATTTTGAAATAATAGAGAAGATTTGTAGCTCAGGTGGATGATTTGCAATTAATAGTGTTCTCTGAGCTGGTTGGTTTAGTTGCGGAGCTTTCGTCGTCCCCCTGCTGGACAACATCCCCTTTCAGCGCAATATTTAGCATAAAGTGAAATGATTTAAATTTCTTCATGAGTGATAGATAGAATTGCGTCTCCCGGTAACCATCTTTACATATGTATTGACCATTTTCTATTGACTTGGATTTTAAACTTTCTCGTCACATGATTTACTTTTTATTAGTTGGTATATTTCGTCTATATTAACGTGTTTGTTAATTGCACATTCGTTTGAGTACCAGGCTTCTAGGAATTCCCTGACTACACTTTTGGTGTTTCCTCTGTCTAAGATTTTGACATTATCCCAATCAAATTGATGTCCATAATTGTCTATATGCATTGATACTAAAGAATATATATCGTGTCTTTTCACGGCTGATTTGTGTTCTTGGATTCTGATTCGAAGGGGACGCCCACTTTGGCCGATGTAATGTTTGTTGCAGTTCATACAATTTATTTTGTAAATGGTATTAATTTTATCCCCTTTTTCTGTTGGATCTTTCGGTTTGCATAATATCGAATTAAGCGATTTGACTGGCTTGTGTGCTATATCTATATCAAACGGTTTCAGTATTCTAGCTGTTATTTCAGAGATATTTCTCATGTATGGTAGAATGAATTTTCTTGTGGTCTTTGATGATGGTTCTTTGTTGGTGTTTTGATTCGACTAACTCTTTTTGATGAAATTTTGTGGATAACCATTCTTTTTGAAGACCGTTAGTAGGTACTTTTCTTCCATTCTTTTCAACTCTGGAGTGCTACAATGTGTGTTGAACTCTTTTAAACAATGTCTGCACACAGTTTCGTTTGTGAGTAACTGGATTATTGCTAGTATAGTTGAGTATTTGATCTGTGTGCGTTGATTTTCTATATACTTGTGCCAGGGAATTCCTAGAAGCCTGGTACTCAAACGAAAATGCAATTAACAAACACGTTAATATAGACGAAATATACCAACTAATAATAAAAAGTAAATCAGGTGACCAGAAAGTTTAAAATCCAAGTCAATAGAAAATGGTCAATACACATATGTAAAGATGGTTACCGGGAGACGCAATTCTATCTATCACTCATGAAGAAATTTAAATCATTTCACTTTATGCTAAATATTGCGCTGAAAGGGGATGTTGTCCATCAGGGGGACGACGAAAGCTCCGCAACTAAACCAACCAGCTCAGAGAACACTATTAATTGCAAGTGTAAGGATGTTAAACAGGAGGTGTGATTAGATCTAGGGTGGTAGCTTAGGGGCCCAAATTGGCTTCTTCTTGATCCCCTTTTCTCGCTCACTCTAAGGTCATTCATTGGTGTGTGTGTATGTGTGTACACGCCTCTTAGATGTACAAAAATTTAACTCCTCCCCCCCCCCCGTAGCACATTAATGATAATACTTACTTGTCTTAGACGAGATAGTCAGACCAGTTGCTTTCAACAGACTAAACTCATCAGTTTGTTGGCCAACATTACACAGAATTGTTGGCGCTGGTGGGAGTGGACTGCTGCTACTTCTACGTGAACCAGATGTTGTATAATCATCTTCATCTGTCACACTACGTGTTCTTGAACGTCGACGATGATGTGAGACTGTCAGTCCAGAGGATGATGAAGAAGAAGCTTCGGAAACAGCAGAACTACAGTTATTACTACTACTGTTATTCGTAGTATTATTGTTGTTTGCATTAGATGATTCACCGGGATGACGAATAACTGTTCCATGTGTTTCTTGATCAGATTCACCATGTCGTCTATGCGAATGATGATGTTTACGATATCGACAATGTCGGCGATGATGTTTACGACTGTGTCGACGAGAACATCCCCGTTGATGCTATATAATGAGAAAAAAAGAAAGGTAAGAACTACGGTTAATCATTTACACAGTCAAATTGTGAAATTTTGTTCCAACTAGTGAGTGACGAACTACAAGACGAACTTGCGTGAAGTTCCTGCAAGAAGTTATGATCAACAAAGTCCACGAAGTTGGGGCGTGACGATACAGATACTGACTGACTGATGATATTGGCTGGCGGTGGTAGAATTTAGGATTCATGAGCCAGTGGCTGAATGGTATGCAAGTTCGCCTGAGTTCAGTCCCTGATGGGTGAGATTATCTGTGTGTGCTGCTTACTAAAGAGTCCCAAACAAGGACGAAGCAGCTGTCCAATGCTCTCTGGTTTTCAGTGATTCTATAACTGAAGTTGGTTGAAGTCATTTACATCAAGACCAGAAGGTATCATTGTGATGCCGATTAGTGGGGTCAATAGTAATTTTTACGGGGGTGAAGTTGTTAGCCTGACGCCACCCAACCTTCCCTCTTTTTACTACACCGGAGGTCGGAGATCGAACTCTCTGACCACATGAGGTGTGTTTTAGTGAGTAATCGAACTCTGAACCAACGAAACAAGTTTAGGAGGAGTTTAGGACTCATTCGCAGTAGAGATTAGTCAAAGTTTTCAAAAATTATGAGAGAACGCTTTTGATTTTTAACATTTTGATGACTCTAGAGCCAGTAGTACATGATTCGCGCTAAGCGCCTTCTGACTTGCTAGACTTTAGTTGGTCCACTTTCAGCTTTTGTCCTCAACTTGATCTTACATCATTAGAAGCTGCTGTTTGGAATGTGTAAAGACCAGTACCGGTTACCCTAGTAAGTGAGGAATATTCACTATCTCATCAACTGCCTTCCCTTTTTAACTAACAACCTAAGTGTCATGGAATAATTGTTTGGAAAATCCATGCCTGAACGATCTAATCACAATTTTTATAATTATTTGGATGTTTAGACTAACTTTGTAATTATTATCCGTTTCTCTCCTAGACTGGGAGTAAGACAAGCTGGCTGCCTACTATCTCCAATGAATAATTTCCTGATTGCGGTAGACTGGATAATGCGACAGACAGAGGGCAACGACGAGACAGGCATAAAATGGATGCACACAAAAAACTTGGAGGATCTGGATTTCGCCGATGTGATATATGTCTGATTTCCCACAAACACTGGAAGATATGCAAGTGAAAAGCAACAAGTTGGCAGAAGAAGCAAGCATCAAAGATAGGACTTCAGGTGAACATAGGGAAACAGAGGTGATGAAGATTCCTGGCCAACACCACCAACAGCAACAACAACAACTGACAACAATCAGCATAAATGGGAGGAACCTGAAAGAAACAACCTCGTTTACCTACCCACCTGGGAAGCATCGTTTCAACTACAGGCGGACGGAACTGACGAGGATATCAAAGCAAGAATCGGAAAAGCAAGACAAGCTTTCATTACTCTCAAGTCTGTGTGGAGTTCAACAGCACTCAGCATGAAAATGAAAATAAGATCCGGATTTTCAACTCCAATGTGAAGTCAGTCAGTGCTACTATACGGATCAGAGACTTGGCCAGCGTGTCATAAAGAGCATCTCAAACAAACTACAGACCTTCATTAACAGTTGTCTTCGCTCAATACTCAAGATCAGATGGCCAGAAAAGATCAGCAACAGGGATCTCTGGGAGCGAACCAACCAAGGAACCGATTGTGAAACAAATAGGCAGGAAGAAATGGAGATGGATTGGCCGCCATACTCTGAGAAAACCATCAAGTGACATCACTAGACAAGTCATTGAGTGGAACCCGAAAGGGAAGCGGCGAGTTGGTCGTCAGTGCAAGGGTGACTTGTAGGAGGTCATGTGAAGAGGAGATGAAAACGTGTGGGCAGACATGGAGCCAGGTGAAGACTCTAGCAGAGAACCGAACGCAATGGAGACGCACAGCTGAAGCCCTATGTTCCTCTAGGAATTAAAGGAAACAATAATAAAATAATAATAGGCTATCGGTCAAGTGGAACCTGAATGAGAAACGACGGGATGGGGGAGAACTGCAGTAAATAGGACAAAACAGAGACATGCTTTTGAAGCTATACGTTGCATTCGGAACCCAAGGGAATAATAATAATAACAGTGATCAATAGTTTTAAGGTTATATAAAAATTATTAATAATAATAACAAACCTCTCGTTCAACATTAGTCGCCTCTGCAGCTGTATCTGCACTATTCATTCGTCGAATAGATCGACCACCACCACCACCACCACCAGTCGTAGTAGTAGTGGTCTTGTCAGTTATTTCACTATCATTATCTAATAATAACAATCGTCTTGAACAACGATCACGATCACGATCTGAATAATTCACCTCTTTCAGAGTAGTACCTTTGACATTGACTTCCAGTGCAGTGGAACAAGTACTTGTAGTTGATGAAGTCGATGAGGAACTGAAACTGTGATTATCATAATCCCTGTGATCGATATCATTTAAATCTGTGAATGATGACGAGGAGGAGTCAGATGTGTTCGACGACGATGATGAGGATGATGTTGTCAAGAAATCTAAACAACCATGACTTGAAATCGATGAACTTCCATCACTTGGACTTCTACTATCCCCTGCTTCTGTATCATTCATACTAGTTGAACGATTGTTAACATCACTGTTATTATTATTTTGTCGGGAGAGTCGTCGATTATGTGAAGAAATATTTCTACTCTTTCTTCCCTTATCTTCATTGTCATCATTGTATAGATAACATGAACAATCAGAGAAGGATTCACTCCCTTTCAAATTATCCTCGTCATCATGTGGCAGTTGTTTATGATGTTTTGATCTATGCTGACTAGTAGATCTATCCTCATGAGGATGACGATGGCGGCTATGATTCTTTTTATTATGATTCGATGACGATGTCTTTCCTCCTTTTCTTCTTGTATGATGTCTTCCAGTTGATCGACTTCTAGAAGAAGAAGTAGTCGTAGCGGTAGAAGTAGCAGCAGCGGCAGTTGAATTAGGCGCCATTAAACCTCCACCTTCATTTTTATTCTTCAGTATGCCTTTTTCTGGTTGACGCCATGAATTCTCCATAATGATACTAAATTGTGTCTATAATTAGAGAACAAGCATAATAATAATAATTAGTGAATAGAGAGTACTTTCATTGAAAGAATAACATAGAGGAACAAGATCCTTATCTTCAACACTATTGCTAGATCAGTCACTGCTTTCACATGGTTCGCAGACTTGGTATGCGAGTCATTAAAAGCACTTGCAACGGCTTGACACAGTCTTCCATCAAAGGGAGTCAAGATCAAGACATTTGGATATAATAGCTGAGACAATAGATATTCATGGATTAGACATAAGCATAGACCATACAGACGCTTGAGTAGAACCTTAACGGGGGATGTCCGGTGGTGATATGGAGGAGACCGTGTCAGAAGGGGATGAAAGCCTACGCGCGATCGTGGAGCCCGCAAAAATGGATTGGGGAGAACAGAGTGACGTGAAAATGCGCTGTTGAGGCTGATATGGTTATTGATGCTCGGTCTAGAAATAAACCAATCAGAAATGGCCTGTACAAGTGATCAATATTCAGTCTGGAAATAAACCAATCATAGTCAGCCGACGTAAAATAACGCCCACTCCTTTATTGATCACGATTACAGACTGTATATTATTCCTTGGTGATTTATACGTTACTAATGTAAATAAACCGTTACTTTCCGTCTTATCTTTCAAGCTCTGTTGCTTAAGTAGTGCAGGCTGAGAGATCGGTTAACTGTTGTATACGTTGTTCGCGCAGACAAGCGATACCCGTGATCACCGCATCTGTCACCAGCTTAGCTTCGCTATTTCCACTCCACATTTTGTAAAATAATAACAGAGGCCCTATTTTTCACTCAGAATCTACGTGACGACCTTTTTCCCTCCCCCAACCCAACAAGTTTCCAGTTTCATTCCTCCAAACGTAAAGTGATCTACACAATTTCTAAAAAAGTGGTGCCTCTTTAAACATCTCAGTGGCTAAATGGTCTACGAAATCGCCTTGTAACCATCCGCAGGTCCTGGGTTCGACCCTCGGTCGGTGCATACTCTTAATGTATCGGTAGTTCAGCTATAAAATGCTCACCAACCATGCCTTACATGTGGTCTGGAGTTTGATCCCAAGGCCGACGCACTCTCCCCTGAAAGCCTCGTTAAACCTGTAGTAAGCCGGGCAGTAAAGAAGGAAGGCTGGATGGCATGAGGCTAGCAACCCTACCCCGTTAAAAAAAGCAATGTTCCAGTGGGAATGTAAAGCAATAAAAATCAAGGGGCAATTTCCTTACATCATTCATCACCTCCTTAGAAGTATCCGTTGAATTAGTCACTTGACCACTACTACCGGCAGTTGACATCTCCTTCTTTAATGTGTCAACACCTTCAGAAGCGGCGGCTAGAGCAGCAGCAGCATTTGCTCCAGCTCTTCCTGCACCAACCAATGCAGCTGTAGTAACACTACACAATAATGAGGTTTGTTTTGGACTCGATGGAGTCTGTTGTTGTATGGACGATGATAGTTCATCTGGTTTAAATCCTATAGGTGATGACAATAACGGTAGTGGATCGGAGTAATTTGTCGGTGAGAATGGAAACAGAGGCGGTACAATTGATGGTACTGATGGCACAATAGAAGTATTGACTGGTTCATATAATAATAATGAAGATTTTTGATGATGAGCAGAACGTTTAGTTGGATCGATGTTGGGTGACATCAGTGCTGGATTCGCATCGATTGGCATATCCAACTTGGATAGAGTACTGTTAGTTGTATTGATGAAATTTGATTCTAACGGTAGAGTAACAATCAGTGCAGTAGAATCTGATGGATAGGAAGTCTTTTCACTAGTAGTATTCACAGGAGTAGATCGATAGTCTATTGTCTGAGGAGGTGTTTCAGCTGATCGTTTCATCTGCTTTATTTTATCCTCCCTAATAGCAGAAAAATAGAATTAAAAAATATTTGAAACAATTGTAAACTATGTTATTAATAATAATAATAAAGTAGGTTGAGAAAATGACATTTATAACCTCATTGACTCTTGGAAAACAGGCCTTCAATAGTGTCGACAGTGAAGTACTTTGGAGACTGCTTGAGCACTGCGGAGCGCACTGTCATTAACCTTTATCAACCTCATACAACAGAGCTATATGACAATGTCACACATCTCAACGGAAGACTCAGCAAGGCATTTGAAGTGAAGAAAGGAGTACGACAAGACCGCCTGACTACTATTACCTGCGATGATATTCCTAGTTGTGGTGAACTGGATCATGAGGAATACGATCCATACTTCTTTGGTGATTTATATCTAATGTCACATACAAAAAACCTAGAAGATCTACAAGCGAAGAGCAAAGAGTTAGTAGAAGAAGCAATGAGGACCGGACTCCATATGGACAGGAAATAGATTGTTTTGTTTGAGAAAATCAAGAGATATTTATAGATTTTTATCTGCATTATTATTGGTGTTATTATTAGCGGTGAGGCAAAGTCTTCTGATTGGTTGTTTTCTTGCTGAAGGTTATTCTGTTATCTCTTTGTGGCCGTTTCTCAGAAAGTTAAGCCATATATCTGCGAATCATATTTCCACACGTTAACTCCGCTGTGATTGGTTGGTGATTTTCTCAAGGTTCGGCTTTGTTATTGTTTTTCTCATGGCCCTGATTCGGGACGTGAACATTGACGTAAATTGTTGTCTACGATTTCGCCTTGCAGCCAGCTTTCACCACAATACTACGAAGGCTTTATGTTCTATCCAAGGTGTTATGGATGTGTTTTGTGAGACAGTCAGTCCTAAATTAGAGTGGAATACCTGGAAATTAATACTCCTAGGCCTGATATCGATTCGCGATCAGATGCAACTTGAAACATCTGAGATCAGCGCAGGAAATAAACGGAACTAAACAACGATTTCATTGATTTTGTCTGTCTGTCTGTTTTCGACATGGAACTTTGCACATATGTGCGGCAGTTCAAGTCACCATTCACTCCATGTAGCACACAAAGTAAGAGAAGAAAGTAGGAGAAATGCATATTAGAGGCAGTAAACAGAGGTGTGAGACAAAGGTATAGTAATAACGAAGAACAAAACAGTTTCATTGGAAATCATAAGTCACAAGGAGTGGATGCATCTTCACCATCCACTGAGAACGATTTTGAGCCATGTCACCAATTGTTTCCAACCATTGGTTTTTACCATCCCGAGGACCCCAACCAGGAAGTCTACACCTTCCTACGTGGCTTAAACTAACTGTTGTGGATTTCATTGACTGGTGCCATGTTTTGGTTTGACCGCCGCTAGCTCTTTTCCAGCCTGACCCTATATCAGCTAACATTGCCCATGTCGAGGAAGGCGATGACTAGGCTAGAATGCGTAACACATGTCCTAACTATCTCAGTCGATGTAATTTCACAGCCTCGTCGATTGATTTCCCCTCCTTACCTGGCACTCGACGCCTAACCTCAATATTGCTCACCTTATTATGCCACTTCACACGGGAGATAGAACGCAGACACCTACGATCAAAGACAGCTAATCTTTTCATGTCATGATGACAACTCGCCGTAAGCCCTCACCTGGCTGGCTTCATGAGTTCGAGTAGAGTGCCTTAATCAGTGCAATGTATTTTCTCGGCATTCCCTTTACAGCCAAGCATCGCCAGAGAACCTCTCGGTTCACAGAATCGAATCCCGCCTTTAGGTCAAGAAATATAATGATTGTCGGACGCCGGTAGGAATGCCTATGTTCTAGAATCTGTCGAAGGGTGAAGATATGATCAATACACCCTCTTCCTGGCCTAAAACCTGCCTGGTTTTCTCGTGTTTGTGCCTCCCGAGCACCACTTAGTCTACGCAGTATTATTGAGCCTAGGATTTTAGATACTATATTAGTCAAGCTAATCCCTCTGTGATTATCACAAGAAGACTTGTCTCCTTTCTTGTATATCGGGATGATCAGTGATTTACACCAACCCGATGGGACTTCCTCTGATTCCCAGACGCTGCCTAGAACCTCAGTTAATGCAGACAGTAAACTGTCTCCACCGTACTTAAATACCTCTGGAGTCATTCCATCAGGTCCCGCAGCTTTGCCTTGCTTCAGATTAGTGACAGCTTTAGTAACCTCAGTTAAGGAAGGAGGACCTGTGTCTATATCCCATTCAGGGAGGTGTTGGATGTTTGGCAGGTTAAGCATGGCTGTAGGCCAATTAAACTGCTCCTCGTAGTGCTCTTTCTAGTGTTTCAGTCGTCTATCCTGGGAGCTAATTATGGTGCCATTTTTCTCCGAGATTGTTTCACTTATCATTTGCCTTTTGCCACCTGTTTCCCTGATAAGAATCCGAATTATGTAAAAAAAAAACAATCAACCGAGAGAAATAAAACTCCTCTTTAAACTTACTTATACGAAGGCATACTACCGAATTTAATAATTCTATCCATACTGTTATTTAATTCATCAGTATTATTATGATTAGTAGTAGCAGTACCATTATTGCATGTTAATTCAGTATCAGAGAAATTCACTCCATATTGATGATCTTCCATAGACTGTTCCAACAGTCGTGTATCACTTCCTGGTGCACTACTTCGACTTGATGATTTATTATGCTTACGATTGATTTTCTTTTTACCAGAGGATATTTCTGATTTCTTTGAATGACCATCATTACGATAATGTCTGCCGCCACCGCCGCCAGCACCGCCCCGCCTCCACCACTACTGCTACTGCGTCGATGTTTTCCAATATCCCCGGCAACACCTCCATCTGTATTCGAATAATCTGAGAAGTGATGACAGTCATCCTCTCGGCTACCACGACCACCACGACCTCGACGTCTGCGTGAACACTCGTCTGGATGATGACGATCTTGATGATGATGTAGATGGGGACGACGACGTCCATGCTGACGATGTTGCTGCTGGTGTTCATAGCCTTTATCACGACTGCTACAACTGCCTGCACCTCCTCCACCACCAGTAGATTTATCATATAATGAATTATTTAATTCTTGACATTCTGTAGAATTATTACTATTACTACTGTTGAATAGACGGATTGATCCATTGTGTTTAACAATTCTTGGTGATAATAGGCCGCCGCTGCTTCTTCGTTTACCACGATGAAATGTACAGAAATTTTTATGTGTAGCATTATTATTACTATTATGATAATAAGATTTGCCAAATATGCTTGAACGTCCACGACGCCTACAAAAAAAACAAACAAAAACATTGAACAATGAACAAAGTGAAATAATGAAATGAAAGAAGTCATATTGATGTATGTGTAAAACTTGAGGTACTGTGGTAGTAAGTAATTCCATATTAGTTTGTTTATTAGATATATCACACAGTGAGTGAAACAGTATTATTAACTGGATGACGTTTCGAACAAAATTTATTGTTCATAATCATTTCATCAATTATAATCACACGACTTCGAAACTTGAGTTTTATAGTTTTCTTTGTTCTCTCCTATTTTTCATCGTAGGGGTAGTAGAATTTTCCAGATATCCGAGTGGACAGGTGTTCAATCATTCGTATCACACGTGTTTGCAGTTGATTCGATAAACAAAGCATCTGTTATCAATCTCTCCCTCCATTCACATTGTTACGAATCTAGATTTTGCTAAGTTTTTATGTTTGGCTAGTCTGACTGCCCCTGTTCTACTAGTCTGACCTATGTATTTGACCTGACAATCATTGCAGGCAGGGTATTAGATAAACGAAACTGTTTTGTTTTATTGGCTCCACAGGATTGATGCTTTAACCGACAAAACTTGTTTCTAATTGAGTTTGTGGTTGGTTTCCGAGGTTCCTTCCTTGCATGGAATTACTACTGATGATTTAGATTCCTTATTGTTGGTGTTGTCATTATCTTGAGCATGTTTGACATGCATGTCGTAATTAATATTATTATTATTATCACTACTAGCATTATTTATTTTATTTTTACATTTCCCTACATACTTTCTGACTTATTTATCACGGTAATTATTAAGTTTCAAAGCTTCTCTTATATGCTTTATTTCTTGTCTTAGATTTTCCTTGTTACTACTTAGTTTTTGCTCTATGTCACTTAAACATTTCACCAATCCTATTTTTACTGACATAGCATGGGATGATCGGAAGTCCAAATATCTGTTTGAATGTGTGGGTATCCCGCCAACACTAGTGTTTAATCTAGCAATATCTAGATTGGTTGACCCGAATAAGATAAGAAATCTAGAGAATAGTTCAGCTATAGCACTACATGCAATTACACACAACCATTCAATAGGCTGGATGGGATAGGATGATAGTTTTAAAATCTAATGTAACAGTGTGAATGGAAGGAGAGATTGATAACGGAATCTTTGTTTATCGAATCAACCGAAGAGAATACATGTAATAGGAATGATTCATCACCTGTCCAGCCAGATATCTGGAAAATTCTACTACCTCAATGACGACAAATAGGAGAAAACAAAGAAAGCTATAAAACTCAAGTGTCAAAGTCATGTGATTACAATTGATATGATTATGAACAGCAATAAATTTTGTTCGAATGGCGTCGTCATCCAGTAAATAATACTGTTTCATTGACTGTGAGTGATATATCTAACACACAGACTAATATGGAAATGAAGGAAGAATGAAGTTTTCTAGTGTTGGAATATTAGTCTGATGTTGACTAGCGATTGACCATATTCAGCTGGGTAGGTGGTAGTTACTCGGGTTCTAGTGAGAAGTCGTGACCATTTTAGTGGGTTATAGCAGGTCACCACAGATGACATTAGTGGCTACTGACAGTGCGCTGGTCATTGGGTTGGGTGGTCTTATTGACCCATCGTCTCTTCGACTCAGAAGTATGTCTAAAAATGCAACACTTACATGACTCTTTAAGGAGTTAAGTCTATCCAAGTAGACGACTCGCATCTTCATGCTCATCACGCATCAAAATTAAATTGAGGGACAAGTTTTCGACATAAGAGTGAGAACGCATCAATGATCTTGAAAGCATACTATTCGTTGGATAACTAGTAGGGGGGATCTACGATTATTTTAGGGCCATTATGAAGGAAAATGAGGTGCAGATTTCATTGCAATCTCGTTTTAAGTACTTTTGGGATAATTGGTCGATAGTTTGTTAGGGTTACAATTAAGGATAGTAAGGGTCAATCCCTTTACTAGAACCCATACTGACTCAGTGGGGGCTGGGAGCTTTTTGAGAATCCTGGTATACAGGATAAAAGCGATAAGTGGTGGGTCACAAAAATAACTCATCTTCAGTCGCTCTGATGAGTGCATAGACAGTGGTTAATTTAACCTGAGAACTTTTTAAGTCCCATCCTGTTTAGTTCGTTTTATCATCACTGTTCTCTGTATTTCTTCCATAAATAAAATAAAACCCGCCAGTCTATTTGATTGGTTACCTCAAGGTCAGTCGTGGGTTCCCATTCTACAGTAGTTGAATAATGCAGCCTTTATGTATATCACTGGGCTATCTAAATTTCTGGGAGTACTGGACAGCTGTTTCCGTCCGAGTTTGGGACTCCGCATCAGTATGCACCCACCACAAGGGTTCGAACCCAGGACCTTTTGGCTACAAGGCTGGCAAGCTCGTAGACCATTCATCAGTTACTGGGACACGATCCAGTGGCCAGTCCATGAATGCTAACTTCTACCAATTCACAACATATGGTGGCAACTTCGCAATGTCTTTTTCGATGAGTAACTGTCCTTACCTTCAACCTGCTGTACCCTACTGGTCACGGCTTCCCGCTAGGACCGCAGTTGACTGCCTGAATAGGACCAGTCGCTAGTGAGCATCAGATTAATTTTCAAGTATTGGTTTTGCAGGGATTTTTTTGATCGGTTGGAGGATTTCATCATGGGCTGATATCGGTTGACCATTAGATTGGCGGGTCCCAGTGGCTGAATGGTCTCCAAGCTCTAGCTAGCTGGCCTTGTAACCAGAAGCTAGTGGGTTCGAATCGTGGCTGAAGAGCCACAAATTTGGTTGACGAAACAGTTGTCCAATACTCCAATGCTGGTTTTCCAATGTTTCTCTAGCCGATGCCAGTTCATGCTGAAATCCTCCAACCAATCAAACAAAATGCCTACAAACCAATTCATCATATTTCCTCTAATTCGGATTGTTTTAATGTCCGCTGAGTCGCGTAGTTTACTGTAGCATATTTTTAATCGGCCTTCTTCAAACTACTGGTGGGAGTTCGTTTAACAAAGACACACATGTGAATAAACAGAGTTCAGAAGTTCCAGGGTTCAAACAAAATACAAACAGGCAAGACTGATGGTTGGATACATTGAATACATTGAGTTGCACAGTCATGAGACAAGAAGAGAGAAGCTGATAATGAGTAATAGTGTAGTGAGCTTAACAGTATATCTTAGATTCTCTGAATGTGTACCAAAAAGTTTACATCTCAAGGGAACAAATGCTTTGAACAGTGTTAATGTCAGACATCTTGTTGATACGGGCCATCAGGTGAACAGCGTGAAATCCTTTAAGATTATTAATAGAAAATACAGCTTAACTCTCTTCAAATTTGCCGGAGCAATCGCTCGCTGTTAAACGTTTAAAAACTGACTTATATGTTCAGAAAGATCCCCTGATTAGTCTTTCCTTCCCGTGGTGACTCAACGTAAAATTTCTTCGTCTAAATTGACTGCATAATCTTTTGCTTTCACCTTCCTCTAATTTTTCGCTTTATTTTAACTGAGTTGTTTTTGTTTCCATAACTTAAGTTAGACTCACTATAGCACTACTCATTGTCAACTCCTCTTGACCAACAAATTTTGGATGTTTGTATTTTGTTTGTACCTTGACCTCCTCCTTCAGAAGTTATGTAAGTGGAACTTCTGAACTGTTCATTAACATGTGTGTCTCTTTTAAAACGGAATATCATGTTGAGTCACTAAAACTCTGGAAAAATTCTGTGTATAATTACTTAATCAATTATCAGGCTGTAATCAGCTGAAGAGAATCTGAAAACTAAATAAATGATGGCCTAATATTACATTCTGCACAATCATTTCAAGAATTTTATTACTAATTTCATTACTACTCATGAAATAATAAGTAGTACGAAGTATAAATCATAAAAAAGCCTACAGAGTTAATTGTGATATGTTAAGTATATACAAAAGCGTCAGCTGAACCTACCTGTAAATAAACATGAATATGGCTAGAAATAAAAATATCCCGCCGACAACAACACCAAGGATACAAACTAAATACAATGTGTTCAACGGTGTTTTATGATTTCCATTGTCAACATCTACAGAGAGAGAGAGAGGGAAAAATAAATGAGAGTAAGAAACGGAAATTACAATTACTTGTTTAAACTCACTTTTGATATCATTCATAAGGTAAAAGTAAGTCAGAAAAAGTAAAGAGTGTTTTATACGCGTATGTATGCTTGCATGCAGTGTGACTGGACTTTTGAGCAACTGCTTTGTTGATTTTCAAGCGTTAGTTTGTTAAGGCTTATTTTGTTACAAGTTTAACCATGCAGGGATGGATATCAGTTAAAGAACCATTGAAAATCAACTAGGGAATACTACTGGAAAACCGTTTCGTCCTAATTTCGGACTCATCGCCAGTACATACCCATCTCCAAGTTCGAATCCATGACATTCCGATCACAAGTCAAACTCACTAATGACTAGGTACACGATGAAGTTCCTTAGAGCTTTACTGCGTAGTATTGACCAACTAGTGGGGTACATTAAGTCGGACATGAGGAAGAATACTCATCGATGAGATTGGCTGGTGGTCAGGCTAAAAACATCCACTGGTAGAAATTCGAATTAATGGGCCATTGACTGAATGGTCCACGAGCATAACTTGTAATCAGGTCATGGGTCCGATCCCTGATGGATATGTACTGCTGAGTAGTCACAAACTAGGACAAAACAGCTGCGTTCAGTGCTTCCTGTTGGTTTTCAATACTTTGTTGGCATTAGTCAGCTCGGAGATCACTTGATAGGTTTTTAACTGATTAAGCTATCTAAGCTGATTTAATCAGGATACACGATTGATAAGCTCATCCCCCAAGAACAAATGAAAGTCGTCTGATTCGTAGATTGATTCTATTGGACGAATATTTACTACTACTGACTCCAACTACTCATATCAATTTGTTAGTAGTATATATTTTAAATGCAAAATAGCTAACAGTTCTTCTACCGTCCAGCGAAAATCCATCACAAATTTAACAACTTAATTTCTACCACATATTACCACTTTTATATTACTAGTGTCTTTTGTCTGATGTTGAATAAGAAGTGATACCCATTTTTTAAACAAGGGGTGAATTTTCGTGGCCATCTTGAGGTCATCTGTGTGAATAGGGTTCATGTCTCGGTAGAAATTCCAGTTGATGGATAGCAGTCCAGTCCAGACTCCATATTTCGTCTAGGTTGAAAGTTAGTGAATGACGCCGTCTGAAAACTTGGTGGAAACAACATCACTCAATCACTCACTCACCCACTCATTCAGTGGAGGAATGCGGGCACCTCCAGTTACGAGTCCAAAACAGGACGAAACGAGCATCCTGATGAATTCAACACTATTAGCAGTCATCATCAACCCAAATAGCACTCGAAATGAAATTCAATTCAATTCATGCATACAATATATATGTCTATTATTCTTACTTTAGCAACAAAAACTTATAAAAGGTTAACTTAATTGTATGAAAAAAAGCTGGGATATTTTTATTCCCAAAATTGAATTATTCACCAAAATACTAATAAATAAAAATTAATTACCCAGTAAACAGTAATTGAAACTAATTCACTCAAATTTCCCTGAGGTGCTTTTTATGAATGTTTATGGGAAAACTGTTAGTTGGTACGCATTTCCAATCCATTTCACTGCTACTAATACTATTTCCCATTCCAACATTTCTAAGTTCCAAACGCACAATTTCCCCCACTTTGCTAATCTCGCCCCCCCCCACCACCACCATCATGGCCTACCTTCCTCTTCTCTACTACTATAGTTTTCCCACATTTCTTAGTTTTCTTTTCACGAATGGAGATAAAATCTAACAATCCCGAGATTTTTTGATTTTTTACAGACAGCGACCAACGTATGACTACTAACCTCAATTTTAACCCTTAGCTAGCTGTCTGTACAACCAAAATATTGATATGCCGAGGTTATTTATTATTATTATTATATTTAAAGCACACTAGACACTTAATGTGTGTGTGTTTGTGTGTCTAAAAGATAGACAGACATGCAAATAGACAGGTGGTACAAACACACAGACTGAGTGCATAGGCACACACGCAAAAGCGCGTGGACGGACATGCAAAACATCGCCGATAGATAGATTGACAGACAGACAGGCATAACAGTTTAGACATTTAGTCGAATGAATATTTCATCATTCTCCCATGAAATTTTTCTGTTTAAGAGTAATTAATCTTTGTTTTTTGAAAAATCAAGGGAAAAAAGTCAGCAGAGGAAAGTTATCACACGTTTTTTTGGTCAAAAGGAGAAAGCATTTTCTCACAGTAGAATTCATCAAAATTTTGTGAGAAATCTCTTGGATAACTGTCGTGAACACCAAAAAATAGTCTGTTGACATTAATTTCATCAAATTTGTATTATTAATGCTTGGAGAGAAATGCTTGGTCTCTTATTAGCATGATTTAAAATTGGTAAAAATTCGTCCTCCTTGGGACTCATCAGCTAGATATAACTGCATTCCCCAGTGAGTTACGGTGCGTTCCTAGTGGGACTGGCATACAGTATCTACCGTTTCAAATTCTAAAGCGCGTTATCCACTAGACTACTTGGGCCAAGAGGTAACGCTTTGGCGTTTGAAATGATGGGTACTGGGTTCCAGCCCCAGTAGGGGGGGAACACGATTGCTGACAAGCTGGGGAATGCAGATACATCCACCGAGCGATGAGTTCCAAATAAGACGAAATGCGCATCCTGGATCCCACTTGGCTCGTAGTAGGCCTAGTAAAGTATGCCTGTTTGTCTATTTTCAACATAGAACTTTGCACCGATGTACAGCAGTTCAAGTCGCCACATTCGGCGGGAGCGAATCGAATGCCAAACATTCGCAGATTGCTGCTCAAGGTGTTCAGAAGACTCTGCATTTCTTCAGCGTCCTCACCTAGAAGGACTATATCGTCTGCATATTCCAAGTCAACGAGATTATTCCCTGGTGGTAACAAGTCAATCCCTAAGTCTCTGAAGTGAGTTAGGGTTAAGTCCATTAGTACATCTATGAGGAAATTGAATAGGCATCCCTTTCGGACACCACTAGTTGTCACCACTTCAGATAACAACTCACCATAAGCTCTCACCTAGCTGGCTTCATGAGTTCGAATAGAGTGTCTTGATCAGTGCAATGCATTTTCTCGGCATTCCCTTTACAGCCAAGCATTGCCAGAGTACCTCTCGGTCTACGGAATCGAATGTCGCCTTTAGGTCAAGAAATATGACGATTTTTGGACGCCGCCGGTAGGCCGCCTAGTAAAGAGTGAGGATTCAGTGTGAGTAGTGTAACGATGGAATAATTGTTTGAGAAATCCGTCCTATGAACAATCCAACTAGAATATTTTTATTCATATGGATATTCCAAATTAACTTTGGTAATTATGAGATTTTCTCCTAGACTGTATATCATATGTTGATTTGATCCTTATTTTATTTCTCTTCGTCCCTCTCTGTTTAATCTCCAATGTTAATGCTTTTCGTTGTGATTGTGCATTACACTGATAATGTGTTGTTCTATGAATGTGATTTCGTTTGGGTGAACCTCGGACCACCTGAGGCATGGTTGGCAAACATTCTCTACCACTGTTCCACCGACGCCCTAATACCTACTGGATAAAGCAGGTGCCGCCACTTTAAAAACATGGAATATGCCATACAATCTCCCAAAGTGTATAATAGATACATATATACATATAAACTTATGCTCCTGTCCATCCCAAGCAAAATACTAAGCCGCATCATCCTGGAGAGAATCAAACATGCCACCCTGGATGAAAAACTTCAAATCGGAACAGGCTGGATTCAGGAGAAACAAGCCATGTGTTGATCAAATCACCACATTACGGATCATCAATGAAAAAAGCTTGGAATGGCAGTCACCTCTCTATCTCAACTTCATTGACTTTGCAAAGGCCATCGACTGACAGCGTCGATTGAGAGGTGATTTGGCAACCACTTCGTTACAACGGGGTGCCGTCGACAATTATACATCTCATCCAACAGCTGTACGACAATGCTGCATGCCAAGTAATCCACAAAGGGAAGCTTACGGAATCCTTAGAAAAAAGGAAGACGGGAGTAAGACAAGGCTGCCTATTATCGCCAATGATTTTCCTGATTGCAGTAGATTGGATAATGCGACAGACAGTGGGCAGCGAGGAAACAGGTATAAAATGGACCCTCACGAAAAACTTGGAGGACCTGGGCTTCACCGATGTGATATATGTCTGATTTCCCACAAACTGGAAGATATACAAGTTAAAAGGCGCTAAGTTAGCAGAAGAAGCATCAAAGATAGGACTTCAGGTGAACATAGAGAAAACAGAGGTGATGAAGATTCCCGGCCAAAAACAACAACAACAACAGACAACAATCAGCATAAATGGGAGGAACCTGAAAGAAACAACCTCTTTTACCTACCTGGGAAGCATCGTTTCAACTACAGGCGGACGAAACTGATGAGGATATCAAAGCAAGAATCGGAAAAGCAAGACAAGCTTTCACTGCTCTCAAGTCTGTGTGCAGATCAACATTCTGGACTCAGTAAGAAAAATAAGATCCGGATTTCCAACTCCAATTTGAAGTCAGTGCTACTTGCTATACGGATCAGAGACTTGGTGCGTCATAAAGAGCACCTGAAACAAACTGCAGACCTACATCAACAGCTAGTTGTCTTCGCTCAATACTACTCAAGATCAGATGGCCGGTCAGAAAAGAACAGCATTAGTGAGGGATCTCTGGGAGCGCGAACCAACATAGCAGGAACTGATTGTGAAACAAATAAGCAGGAAGAAATGGAGATGGATTGGTGGCCATACTCTGAGGAAACCATCAAGTGACATCACTAGACAAGCCATCGCTCGAGTGGAACCCGGCCGAAACGGAAGCGGCGAGTTGGTCGTCAGTGCAAGGATGACTTGGAGGAGGTGATGTGAAGAGGAGATGAAAGGATGTGGGCAGACTTGGAGCCAGGTGAAAACTCTAGCTGAGAATCGAACGCAATGGAGACGCACGGCTGAAGTCCTATGTTCCTCTAGGAATTAAAGGAAATAATAATGATAATAGTAATAATAAACTTACTTTGTCTTTTCATTTGATAATCTCGAGGATTTGTATACGGTTGTTGCATTTGTTCTAAATAATTCCATATCCATTGAATAACTTCTGGACTCAGCGGATTATTCCTTGTCATCATAGAAGGGATTGATGATGATTGGATACTGGAAGATGTGGTATTCAACTTTTCATTATTATTATCATTATTTGTGTGAATAGGCGTCGACTGATTAGCATTGACAACTTCTATTTCACAAGCATTACCAGTCCATTGAGGATGACACAGACAGAAACCAGCGCTTGTACACAACTAGAAATGATAATAATAATAATAATAATAACAATGATATTAATGATAATTACAGATAATAGAAGGCAGAATTTCTGATTGATCTATCTTTTAATTGTCAGTTGGCAGGGGTTTGAATTGATTAGTTAGAGAATCCTATTGGAAAACCAACCAGAGAGTCCTGGACAACCAGCTATCTCTTCATAGTTGTATGGCACTCTTCAACTGTACGCACACACCAACAGGGTTCGAAGTCTCATGACCAGTGGGTTACAGCAGGTCATCGGGTCTGTCTGTCTGTCTGTTTTCGACATAGAACTTTGCACCGATGTGCAGCAGTTCAAGTCGCCACACTCACTCCATGGAGCACACAAAGCAAGAGAAGAAAGTAGTAGAAATGCATAATAGTGGCACAATACAGAGGTGTGAGACAAAGGAATAGTAATAACGAAGAACAATATAGTTTCATTGGATATGATAAGTCACAAGGAGTGGATGCATAATCTGCACCAGCTATTGAGAATGATTTTGAGCCAACCATATCACCGGTTGTCTCCAGCCTTCATTGGTTTTTACTGTCCCGAGGACCCTAACCAGGAAGTCTACACCTCCCCTGACCGCCGCTGGCTCTTTTTCAGCCTGACCCTATGTCAGCTAACATTGCCTATTGTCGAGGAAGGCGATATCTAGGCTAGCAGATATAACAGATGTCCTAACCATCTCAGTCGATGTAATTTCACAGCCTCGTCGATTGATTTCTCCTCCGTCGTCGGATGTGAGGACAAATACTCTCCAAATTCGTAGAAGTAAAAATTCATGAGTTGGCCATTGAGTCAAGCAGGTCCCAGTGAGTGAATGGTCTACAAGCTCGCCCTGCAACTAAACGGTCCTGGATTGGAACCACAGTGGCGGATGCCTACCGATGAAGACTCCCAAACTATGGCGAAACACCTATTTAGTAGTACACCTTGGCTGGTTTTCAATGGTCCCCTAACTGGTCGACTCGTGTGCTAGTGATAAGAATAGAATATCCTGTCATTACAGATTTTTGACGTAAGTTATGAGAGGTCATTTCTTATCTAAGTATGTACGTGTGTGCGTGTATGTGTTAAATAACTGATGGTGTTCACATCTGCTGACATAGGTGACATGGCTCAAAATCGTTGTCAATGGCTTACGCAGATGTATTCAGTCTCTGTAATCTTTATTGATATTCCTTTCTACCATTACTCATTCTGTTTCACTCTTATACTTGTCAAAACTCTATTGATTCTCTTCACTCATCTTCTTGTCTACCACCTTTGTTTGCTATTTGGAATGTGGCAACTCGAACTGCTGCACTTCGGTGCCAAGTTCTATGTTGAATCCAGACAGAGACAGACAGATTCAGCCATTTTGGTTAGAATTCAATGACTCCAACCAATGTCTTCAATGACATGATGGACTGCAGCTTCTGGAAATCGATTCACTAACTATCAGTGAGCTGTTGATGTCAAGGTTAAGTGGGTTCTTAATTGAAGAAATCAGTGAGGATAGCGTGTTATATCACGCAGCAGCTGAAAATGTTAGAATTCAAGGGATCAGTGAATTCCAGCTCAAGTGGTTGAAGGTTCTGAGTTCAATTCCCGACGGAATCGTGGATGCGCACCACTGGACGGTCAGTTCCAAGTAATATAGGATGAAACAGCTGTCCAGTGGTACTCCCTGGTGGTTTTTAATTGTTCTCTCATTGACATCAATCCATGAATGAGCAAATCCCTATGAACTAACTTTTATAGTTTCTAGACACTGGCTGCAGGACGTAGTTGCCTGCAGTTTTAGTGAGAAGGCATGACTAATGAGTGGGGTCCACCGCCATGTCGGGAGTGAGGACAAATACTCACCACAGATGACATTGGCTAGTGTCAGTAGCGCCAAAATCAATAAACTGGTAGAAGTTAGAATCGATTACAGGATTTCATCGTCAACTGACATCGTTTAGAGAACCACTGGAACATCTGAAGGTACTGGACAGCTGTTTCCTCCCCTCTATTTTAGGACTCTTCATCAGTACGCACCCATCCTCTGGAATTCGAACCCAGGATCTTCCGCTTACAAGGCGAGCTAGCTTGTAGACCATTAAACCGCTGTGACCCGATCTAATAGCTAGGACATGAACTCCAAATTCTGTCGAGTATCTGTTCAGTGGTTCTATAACCGATATCAACTAATGATGGAATCCTGTAACCAATAAAATCAGATCCCTGCAAACCGACACTGGAAGCTAGAATTCATAGGTTGGCCACTGAATTCGGTTCTAGTAGCTAAATCATCTACGAGCTCTTCTTATAGCACGTTAGAGGTCTTGGGTTCGAACGCTGGTAGACGAAACAGCTGTGTGCAGTACTCCATGATGATTTTCAATGGTTCTTTAACTGATATCATTGAGTTCGTATGAAAATTGGAAACGAATTGAATCACTAATGATAAGAATAGCATATCCTGTCACTATAGATTTTTGACACAGTGGCTGAATGGTCTACGAGCTGGCCCTGCAACTTAACGTTCCTGGGTTGAAACCACAGTGGCAGACGCCTACTGATGAAGACTCCCAAACTATGGCGAAACACCTGTTTAGTAGTACACCTTGACTGGTTTTCAATGGTCCCCTAACTGGTCGACTCGTGTGCTAGTACTAAGAATAGAATATCCTGTCATTACAGATTTTTGATGTAAGTTATGATAGGTTATTTCTTATCTAAGTATGTACGTGTGTACATGTGCGTGGATGTGTAAGATAACTGGCATCTAACTCACATCTATGTTCATATTTTATGGTTTTCTATAGTTTGGTTTGTAAGGGTGAGTTATGCTTCTACGAGGTGATCACGGATTGCTACCAGTTAGAGAACCGTTGAAAACCAGGGAGTACTGGACAGCTGTTTCATCGTAGTTTGGGAATCATCGGCAGCATAACTAACCCTTACAAACCAAACTATAGAAAATTAATCTGATGCCCACTCACTAGTGACTACTGGCTACAAGATGGAGTTTCCTGTATTCAGTTCTAGTGAGAAGCCATTACCAGTGAGGTTCAACCAGATGTCACGTGTGAGGATGGATGTCCCACCAACGACATTGGTTGGGGTCACGCTAAATCACGAACTGGTAGAAGTTAGAATTCATGAGCCATTGAATTGGGTTGAGTCCCAGTGGCTGAATGGTATGCGGGTTAGCTTGCCTTGTAACCGGAAGGTCCTGGGTTCGAACCGTGGCGGTGGGTGCGTACTATCGATGATTCCCAAACTAGGTTGATGAAACAGCTGTCCAGTACTCCCTGTGGCTGGTTTTCAATGGTTCTCTAACTGATATCAATCCGTGATCAACTCGTAATACATTTTATGGTGACAACATCAGTGACATTCAGTCTATGTCGTTAATCATTCATCTGTGTGTTATGCATGTCGCATCTTTCATGTACAGTTTCATGTTTTGGCATACAGGTCTCATTTCATAATTAATAAAATTTAACTAATTAGATCATTCATGATGAGTCAGTCAGTCTACACACACACGAGAATCACTTGTTCACCCTTAATTATGCTTTTCTACATGTATCCACACACACACACAATCAGACAGATGGACTGTCAGTGTTTGTTAGCCAATATGCGACACAGAAATTCGAATTTGACAAACGATTTCATCTATCTATCTATCTATCCATCCATATGCACCCATCCACCCACCCGCCAACCAGACATCTAAATGACATCATCCTGAGTTTGTATCTCTAGTGTATGTCTGTGTGTCAGTTTGTGTGTGTGTGTGCGTGTGTGTTGAGAGCGACGGAAAGAACATTTTCACCACTTGTATGTAAGTACAAGTAAGTACAACCTTGACCGTATTCATTTATATTAAAAGTACAAAGTGTTACATGGATGGGGCACGTTGAAAAAACAACATGAAACACTCACTGACTCGACTACACCACCCTCCAGGGGTCATTGGTTAATTAGAAATAATAATAATAAAATAATAATACCGATAATAATCAATACACACTGTCATTCATCACTCTCTAGCAAGGATTACGCAATGCTGTAATGAGACATGAATTCTGTTCATTAGTCTGTGAAATGTCTGAAAAAGTCGATGTGTGTATGTCAGAGACAGAGTGAAGTGATTGAATTTGTCTATTTTGGAAACTAAATTTTACAATTTGCAATCTACAGACAGTTAGGGGGAGGGGTGGGATTTTCACCACAGTTTCTCTTGTAGAGTGCAAACTTGTATCAGATTACCATAACGTAAATCCTAATCAAAACAGTGCGTTGGTGGGTGACACAGCGGTTAAGACTCTCGCCGACTGTGCACATGGTCCGGGGTTCGATCCCCTACCGAAGCACACCTGATATTAACGGGCGGCTTGCAAACTTTGGGCTACCGATATCCCATGCTGAAAATTCCATATCTGTACTGAAAATACCTTGTGGAATCAAGCTATAATCAAGATAATAATAATCAAGAAAGTAAGCATATTTGCATAAAACGAATATACTACTGATTGGGTGAGTGAGTGAGATGAGTAGTATATCCACTCACATCAAAAACCAGTAGCGTTTTCCAACCAACCAGATCAAGGTGGTTTATACACCATAGGATGGCCGTTTCACTCATCTAGGGCTGAGCTCCTCATCAGCGGCGGTGTATTCGGTTCGACTCAGTCTAGATGACATCAGTGACTGGTGAAAGTCGTGCTATATCGTGATTGAATCGGTAGAAGTTGGAATTCATGCGCTGGAGATTGGATTGGGTCCCAGTGGCTGAATAGTATACGAGCTAGCTTGCCTTGTAACCGGATGGTCCTGGGTTCGAACCCCTTGGCGGTGGGTGCGTACTGCCGATGATTCCCAAACTAGTTGGATGAAACAGCCGTCCAGTACTCCCTGTGGCTGGTTTTCCAATGGTTCTCTAACTGATATCAATCCGTGATCAACTCGAAAAGCATAACTAACCCTTACAAACCAAACTATTGAAAATAAATAAATAAATAATGAAATCAAATAATTAATGAATTACTTATTTATTGATTTTATTGATTTATTGACTTACTCCATGATTAGAACATGTTACATTCTGATAGATAATACGTCCATCATTTAATTGTTGATTAATTGGCCCAGCTGGACAATTTGATCGAAAAGCCACATGTGGTAGTACACATTCTTGATGAAAACAATACCTATCAGGAGCACATGCAGCACCTTCGGGAACAAATCGAACTTTAGATGAATGTGCCAGATATCTGCATTACATATGAAAACAAAAAAATGTTTATATATACACATAAGACATATGGGTGTAAGCAAATACAAAAAAAAAGAAAACTAAAACGAAGACTATGAATAACACTCACTTAAACAGATGAATAATTACTGGAAAAAGTAAAACACAAATAGCGAAACATCAGTAAAAACAACAATATCGTTTTGTTTTTCATTCATTGGGAAATACCAAAAGAAACCCTCATGATCTAGTTAAGATCCATTATAATAAAGGTTTTCCTTTGTATTTCCCAATGAATGAAAAACAAAAGAAATGAGTTAGATAAAGCTCACAACCTGATAAACAACGTCTTCAACGACATCAAATTCACAAGAGTAGAGGAATCAGAAAACCAAATCCCATTTTTGGACGTCTTAGTCAAGCGAACAACGACAGGGGAATTAGAAACTCAAGTCTATAGAAAATCAACTCATACAGACCAAATCCTGAATTACAACAGCAACAATCCAATAACACACAAAAGGAATTGTATACAAACACTATTCAAGATAGAGAGCCAGCACTCATTGCAGCACTCCCACCTTAAGGAAAATTGAAGAAAAATATCTCATGGACGTCTTCCGAAAGAATGGATATCCACGGAATTTCATCAAAAGACATATACCCCCAAGCCAACCTATCAAACCAAAAGCCCCCAAGGAAAGCACAAAGAAAATCGCCTTACCATATATAAAGGACATCTCAGAAATCACTACAAGACTCTTCAAACCTTTAGGAATTGACGTCGTACACAAACCAACAAAATCACTTCACTCATTTCTATGTCAACCAAAAGACTCAACAGCGAAAGAAGATAAAACCAACATCATCTACAAAATAGATTGTATCAACTGCGAAAAACACTACATTGGCCAAAGTGGACGTCCCCTTTGTCTTCGTATCCACGAACATAAGCTAGCCGTCAAAAGACATGACATCCACTCCCTCATATCACTACATACAGACAACCACGGACATCAATTCGACTGGGACAACGTTCAAATATTAGACAGAGGAAACAACAAGAACGCTAGAGAATTTTTAGAAGCTTGGCATTCCAGTGAATCATCAATCAATAGACACATCGAGATAGACAAAATTTATCAACCGATAAGAAAGAAACCTCACACACAAAGGGTCAAAGTTCAAGTCAAAGAAACAATGAGTTACAATACAAATAACCTAGAAGGTATGAAAACACACAAAAACAACCAAAGAGTCACGTCCAAGTTCACCAGGAGAGATGATTAATAAACTCGTGGAGAAATCTAAAAGCTCACTTCAAATTGAAGTATGCGCTGAAGATGTCACCCAGTAGGGTGATGAAAGCTTCGCAAATTAACTATCCAGCTCAGAGAACACAACCACATCAAAACAATCCCGTTGGTTCTACGGACTTTTCTCTATTTAGTGCTGCTGCTAATAGCTTTATCAAAGTAGTAGTATTATTAAACCAGAATTTACAAAATCTTAGCTTACATATATTGAACAACTTAATCATCATCGTTCATCAGCATGGGGTCATTTTTACAAACATCTAGAGGAATCAAAATCAGAAGAAATGAACACCGTAGAGCCACATCTGTTCGACCAACGAGAAATCCAGTTAGTGAACTAGAAAAGCTTGAAAAATCATCAGCCATAGGATTGTCTACACGTCACGCTATAGAATCAGGTCACAAAATTGATTTTGACAATATTGAAATCATCATCCAGAAAAAGCATTTCAGAAATTGCAAAGAAGCACTTTATATCAAGTGGAATCCAAATTGTCTGAACTGAATGTGAATGATGGACTAAAACAGAACTTGACCTGGTTACAACACCCCCTTCGTCCCCCATGAAATGACAAAATCAATACTAATGTGATAAGCAATTTCATTATGTAAACACACCGCTGCTTTTATAATTTTATACACCTATCAAATCCAAAAATAATCTACACCTGGTTTTGTTATCTTTACTAATTGGCCAATTTGACAAGGTAAAAATAACCCCATACTGATGAACGATGATTAAGTTGTTATATATAAGCTGAGTGGATTTTGTAAATTCTGGTTTAATAAGGCCACTCTGATAAAGCTATTAGAATTAAATAGCGAAACGTCAGTAAAAACAACAATATCGTTTTGTTTTTAATTCATTGGGAAATACAAAAAACCTTTATTATAATGAATATCATATACCCAATGGCAAAATTTTTTCAAACTGTTAAAAGTGAACTTGGTTTGGACATATATAGTTAAGATCCAGCTTAGAATGATCCAATTATCAGTCAGAGAACCATTGAAGAAAAGTCATCAGGGAGTACTGGACAGATGTTTCGGCCTGGTTTGGGACTCTTCAGGAATACTCACCCACCCTTCAGGTTACAAGGCGAGCTCGCAGACCTATGGGTGCGCCCTGTTGAAAAGTCACATAGAACTAGGAAGAAACAGCAAGCTGTCCAGTTCTCCCTCCTTGGTGGTTTCTAATGGTTCTCGAACCGATGTCAGCTCATTATAATGAAATATTAGCCAATCATCTGATATTGTAAAGGCAGAATACAAGAGTAACTGGCAGTAGTAGAATTCCTCAATGTGTAAATCGATGTGCAGATATCGACAAAATTACACCAACTGATGGCGACCTGTTTAAATTCACTGGGTTACCTAATTTATGTATCCATCAAAATGTATCCTATTGAACCCGTTTCATAGTGTTTTAATAATGGTCAAATTTCTAATCTACACTGGCGCACAAATCCAAATAAGTTTCGATTTACTACAAGGGATTTTTCTAAGGAAATAAAGGAAGAAAAGTGTAGAGAAGAAGTACTGGAGTATAGTTCAGTTGATAATATTATTGATTATTGTATTATTGAAAGATTCTGGACGGCAAGAGTAAACAATAGACACTAAAGTCGAATGACCTTGAACCACCAGCCAATCAGATTGCTCAGCATTATAAAATGGATGCTGTTTATAATCTTTGTTGCAAGTTTTACACAGATTCGGTTATGCATTCAGATGCAACCATTTTTATACCAGGAAGTCTGTAAAACTTGGTAAGTCGTACATTATAGTGATTTTCTTTAGATACCTTTCTCTCAAAATCGAAACGGCCTATGTTAGACTGTAAAATACAAAGAATAACAGATGGTAGTATTAAAACGACGCTATATAGGAAAACCACACACTCTGGAAGATTCCTTGATTATCACTCAGCTCATCCACACACGGTAAAACGAGGATTAGTACAAGGTCTTGCAGATAGAATACGTAGACTTACAACAACGCCAGAGGGCTAGTGTAAAGAAATAAACGTCCTATTCAAAATGCTACTCGAAAACAACTACCCAAAAGAATTTATAAAAGATAATATAAAAAAGAGAAAAAAGAGAGTAAAAACGGAGAATAACAAGATGGTAGAATGCAAAAAGACAGTCGCAATACCTTATAAAAATGGTACATCAGAGGCAATTTAAAGAAACCTCAAAAATATCGGCATTCACACAACTTTTAAACCGACAAATCTAATCAAAAATAAAAATAAATCAACTTAAAGCACCTGTAAAAATGATGGATACAAACAACTGGATTTACAAAATATATCTTGTGCTGACTGTCCGACTTAATATGTGGGGCAAACGTCCAGATCACTCAAAATAAGAGTGAATGAACATAAACAGGAACACAAGCCTACAAGAATCTTGAAAAAAATTGATCTATAGCTGCACATGCATGGGACAAAAACCACAATATCGATTGGAACAATGTTTGTATTCTAAAAACTAACATGAACAAATGGAAACAAAAACTTATAACAGAATCGATATTCATTAAGGTCACACCGGATACATGTAACAAGGGTGACTCAGTACAACTATCAACAACTTGGAATATAATTCTGAATACAAAACATGAATGAACAAAAATAATGAACTATATATATGAGTACAAATCATAAATGTGTGAATAAAACAATTCTAACAGTGGTGTGAACACGGGCAGTAATTTTGCTCGAAATATTACCAATAACAAAACTTATCATTGCGTGTAAACTATTGAAATATAATTATACTTTATTTGATCTAATCCACAATGCTCAAACTTTTTACTGATAATAATCTCCCTTAGTAAAATACTGTATATATGCCATAACTGGCCAATGAAGCGACCAGTATATTTTTGCTACAGCTGCAGAAACAGAGAATACTGAAATGTCAACAGTGCAGTGAGTGGTATCAGCAGCACTGTCAGGATATTGCCTCACAAAAGATCAATGGAATTACTTATGTACTTGGAGGAGCTGGTGTCGTCATTCATACTGTTAGAAGAGCGCTTATTAAACGAAAAATGAATTGCCGCGGTAGGAATAGAGCAAATCATGTTTGACTGCTGAAACTCTGCTTACGAAACAAATCTTCGAAAAAGGTTTGTAGAACGCATCCTCTCAGATAGAAGTTTTATTTTTTCCTTCACGTTCCCCAGTGGAACATAGGGCTTCAAGCTAGTGGCTTGAAGTTTCTGTAGCAGTGTTTATTTTACAGGATGGGGTTGCTATCCTCATGCCCAACCTTCCCTCTTACTACTGGCTTAGCGAGGTAAAGGAGTGCGTTGGCGGCCGGGGATCAAACCCCGAACCATGTGCATGGTCGGCGAGCGTCCTTACCTCTATACTACCGACGCACCTCAGACAGAAGTACTGATGTTTTAATAAGAGTTATACAACGACTAGTCCTCCCAGGCACTACCAATCACATAGATGAGTAGAGTGAAGAATCTGATTGGTTGTTTCAAGGTCATCTGAAGTTGGTGTCTATTCTTTACTGTTGCCTTCTGGACAATGAGGAGAAACTTGACAATGAAACTAGCTGAAAATTCTGTAGTGTGTATAAACGCATTTTTTCAGAATAAGGAATGAATAGCACTCATGTAAATAGATGATAAAAAGAAAAAGAAGAAGGATGATCGTCACTGAAAAAAGAACAAAACATAA